ACTCAGACAAATAGAGTCTTTCTGGCCCTCATCAAGTTCACTCTGTCCCTGGCCAGAAGCCTTTCCTTCTTACATCATGGACCAGAAAGCCAAAAGTCTCTCACACCACTTTCTATCCCATTCATATCCTTCTATTTATTCTCTTATTTGCTTCTCATATCCTTCCTCCTCTGCCAAAGTCCCACCCTTTACTAAGAAGGAGACAAACATTATCTCTGCTTCTCTGACCAAAGACTTTCCTGCCAAAGACTTCATACTCCCACGGGGCTTGCCGGTTTCCTCCTAGTAGTAACTTTAATTCTCCTAAAACTACCTTGGGTGAGTAGCAGTCCTCAGCTTTGATAACTCTTGGGATGCCCTCTGTCCTAAACAGAGGCCCCCAGAGACAGCACACTTCCTGCGTGTTTCTTCTTTTTGTTATGTCAGAGCATCCCTTTCAGCAAGGAGTTACCCAACTGACCACAATCTGGCCCTTCTCCTCATTGGCCACACTAGCGTGTTTAGAGCTTCTTTCATCCTTCCATAGAACATCAGAAGCTGCCTTGTTCTTTCAAAGCTGAGACCCACAAAGGATATGAACAGGCAGTTCTCAGATGAAGAAATTAAAGCCATCTGTAGTCATATGAAGAAATGCTCTAAGTTACTATTGATTAGAGCAACGTAAATCAAAACCACTCTGAGGTACCACATCACACCTATCAGATTGGCCAACATGACAAAACAGGAAAATGATAAATGCGTGGGAAAATTGGAACACTAATGCATTGTTGGCAGAGTTGTGAAATGATCCAACCATTTTGGACAGCAATTTGGAACTATGCCCAGAAGGCTATAAAAATACGCATTCCCTTTGACCCAGCAATAGCACTTCTAGGGCTGTATCCTAAAGAGACCATAAAAATGGGAAAAGGATCCACATGTAAAAAAATATTTATAGCAGCTCTTTTTGTGGTGGCAAAGAATTGGAAATTGAGGGGATGCTCATCAATTGGGGAATGGCTGAACAAGTTGTGGTATATAAATGTAATGGAATACTATTGTGCTATCAAAAATGATGAGCAGGCTGACTTCAGAAAAACCTGGAAAGACTTGCATGGACTGATGCTGAGTGAATTGAGCAGAACCAGGAAACATTGTACACAGTAACAGCCACATTATGTGATGACTAACTTTGATAGACTTAGCTCTTTTTAGCAATGCAAGGATCTAAGACATCTCCAAAAGTCTCATGATGGAAAATGCTATCCACACCCAGAGAAAGAACTACGAAGTTGGAATGCAGATGGAAGCATACTATTTGCTCTTTTTTTTCTTCTGTTGTGTTTTGTTTCCTCTTTCTTCTGTTTCCTTCTATTGGTTCTAATTCTTCCTTGCAACATGACTAATGTGAAAATATGTTTAATAGGAACGTGTATGTAGAGCCTATATCAGATTGCATACTGTCTTGGGGAGGGAGGGGGAGAAAAATTTTAAACTCAAAAGCTTATGGAAGTGATTGTTGATAAATCAAAATAAATTAATAAAAAATGAAAAATGAAAAAAAAAGTTGAGACTGAGCATTCCTAGAAAGAGCCTGGAGGCAGATTATAGACTCCCATAAAAGAAAATCTTCCTTCTACTATACCAGCTATCCCAAAGTCTCCCTCTCCACCTTAACCCTCCCCTCATCCTAAGAGACTGCAACACAGATGTTGTTGCTGTCTCAAACAGCCCAACTTCCCACTTCCTCAAGCTACCAAACTCTCATGACCTCCATTCTGCCTCAGCTATATCCCAAGATGGGCATCCTTTTGATCTTGCTGTCACTCACAAATGTTCCACTTCCATGACCAAGAACTTTGAAGCTTCTTGATCTGATCACAATCTCCTCTCCTCCCATCTCTTCCAAAGCCTCTCTCCTCCTAAACCTCTTCTTTTTCCCATGAATGTCAATCCCTCTATCCCTTAGCACTTTCCCAGGGCATTCCCTCCCCCTTTCTGTTAATATTCTCCTCTTTTTCTAATTTCCACTCCTTGAAGAACTCAAACTGAGAAGACTTGTATGAACTGATGCAGTAAAGTGAGCAGAACCACAAGAACAATTTATGTAATAATAACAACACTATGAAAACAGAACTTTGAAAGACGGGAACCCTGATTCAATGCAATGACCAACCATGATTTCTGAATAATGAAGCATTCTATCTGCCTCCTGAGTGAAAAGTGATGGATTCAGGATGCAGAGTGAGGCATGTGGTTTTTGGACATGGCCAATGTGGGAATGTGTTTTGCCTGACTATGTAAGTGTAGCGGAGTCTCCCTACCATGGAGACCTCCTGCATCCCTGCACTCCCTATCACACTGGGAAGAGTGGCCTTCTTTAACTGACTTCAGAGCCAGAACAGGCTGCATTTTAAAACCACCACAGGATTACTCTGTTTCCTACTGCTTCCAGAAGATGGAGATCACATACCTACAGTGAAGGTGCCACAAACTGAACTGGGATGGAGAAATGTCAGCCCACCCCACCACCAGCCTCTGGTGCTTGGGGTGTTTGTTTCTCTCCTGTTTCATCTGTCCTCAGTTTTACTGGGGCGTGGCTGCTGCACATGCTACAGCTTCTTGGAGCCACAGGTGAGAGGTAGGTGAGAGGTAGGTGACAGGTGGATACCAAAGATGGATAAGCAGCCATGAAAAGAGCTAGGCAACCCTCCCACCAGAGGTGCTGGTCCTCCCTGGACACCACGAAAATTCAAACTGAGAGACAACCCCTGCCCTGAGAAGCTTACATTCTAGTGAGGGAATACATAAAGGAAAGCTAGAAAGCAGGGAATGTGTAAGGGGGGATATGATGTCTGAGCAGGAACATGACAGAGAAAGTCTGGAAGGTCTGGAGTGGGGCCTAGAAAGGTTGAAGACTTGGCGGTTCTGAAAAGAACCAACCAATCAGAGAAATGGGCTGCAGGGGTGGAAGGCACCTCCAGTATAAGAAGTCCAGGGGGTATTAAGTTTTGTGATTCCTTCACAAATTTCGCAACATCTACCCTGTGAAGTAAGGATAATATTGTTATTCTCATTTTATAGATTAATAAACTGAGGCTTAGAGTGAAGAAAACTGTAGATTATCAAAAAGGAGGGTGATGTGGTGAATAGAAGGAAGCCTTGGAGTTGGGGTGACCTGGGCTCAGTTCTCCCTCTGATGTCTTGGTCTTGTGACCCAGAGCAAGTCATTCTATCAACCAGTGGCCTACATAACTAAGACCAAAAGTTACAAAGATGCCTTGTCTGTCTGTATCAACAGAGGAAGTTTCCACACCAGGAGATCTGTACACCAATGAAATCACACAAAGAGATTTTAAAAAATCACCAACAATCAGATCGAGACATCATAAGGCCCATCAGACAGGTACAAGCCAAGTGTTCCTGCAAGTGCTGAGGATGGAGAGGTCACTTCCAGCTGGTGTGTGAGAACAGGTATCATGAAGGAGGAGGCTGAGGTTGGAATGGGGGTGGGGGGCATAGTGAAATTCAAGGATTAGATGTATTACAGTTCTTATTATTGTAGTCTAGTTCTTGAATTACATTACTGCATTGTATCATATCTTTGCAGTGCTATCTTATCCCCTCCTCAACTGTGAGTTCCCTGAGGGTAGCCATTGTGTCTAATTTAAAATTGTAATCTCCGTATTTAATGGTTATTTGAAACATATGAAGAAAACCGTGGATCCAGCTCCTTACACACTCCAAAAATGTTCTTCCTATTCACATCTCCCTCTTAAAATCCGCGGCTTCCTTCAAAACTCAGTGCAAATGCTAAGTTCTACAGGGGGCCTTTGTGAGAGGGTGGCAGTTTCTGGATTCATCCCCTCCAAGCTTCCCTTCCATCCACTCAGGATGTTTCGGGCGTGTACCTTGTGTCTGTGGGTTCATCCACCCCCATTCAAATGAAAAATTCTCGAGGGCAGGGACTTTTTGCCGTTCTTTGTATATCCAATGCTGAGTCCAAGGATTGACTGGCCCATGAGTGCTTAAAAAATTTCAAAAAAAAAAAAAAGCAGCTTGTCAATTGACTGACTAAGGCATTCCTGCCATCTGGTGACCACTCTCGGGATTGCAGGCAGTCCCCAGGAGAGTTAGAATCCAATCCAACAAACCTTTTATTAAGCACCTACTGCGTGCCAGCTTCTATGACCCCCGCTGGGGGTACCAAGATAAAGGCAAAACACTTCCTTCCCTCCGGGGTTATGTTCTATGGAGAGAAACAATGTGTGCCCGAGGTAAAGGGGGAGGGGGAGGCAAAGCAGTCGGGGAATTAGGAAAGGCTTCATCAAGGAAGGGGCCCCTGAGCTGAGCCTTGTGAAGGAAGCTGGGAAGTTCAAAGACTGAGCTGAAGCGAGGGCACATTCAGGCATTGGGAGCAGCCTATACAAAGGCATGGAAGTGGTAAGTGAGTCATGTGTGAGAAGCAACAATGGCTCAGTGGACTAGAATATAGAATATCAAAAGTGGTAGGTGATATTTGCCTAAAAAGGTAGGATCCAGACTGTAACAGGCTTTAAATGCCCAACTTCACCCTATTACACACATCTACACACACACACACACACACACACACACACACACACACACACACACTGTTCCTACTTCTGTCCTCTAGAGCCAAGAAGACCAAATCCAATCCCTCTTCTATGTGACAGCTCTTCAAATTCTTGAAAATGTTTCCCATGTCCCCCTACTACATCTTCTCTTCCTCAAGCTAAACATGCCCAGTTCAAGCCATGGTCTCAAGTGCCCTCCCCATCCCTGTTGCCCTCCATCAAATGTTCAACATCCATCCCAAAGTTTAGCCCTAAAATGGAACCCAATCATCCAGGTGGTTTTTTCCTTCCTCTTATTCCCTCCTTCTTCTTCCTTCTATCCTTTCTTTATTACTCTTCTTCTCTCCTATCATTCCCTCACCACCTTTCTTCTTTTTCCTCTCCACATTTCCAGGAGGAGGGATGACCCCTAGGACTCTAGAATCTAGTCTGTGGGATCTTTATTATAGCCAAGAGTGAAAGAGGGAAATGAGGGAAGGTCCTAGTTGAGAGGGTAAACAGTCAGACAGATGACTGATAGAAAGGGAAGACTCTTTCTGCTCTCTGGAGCAGTATTAATGGAGTCTTTTCAACCAGAGATGGATCCCATTTTTGGACTTGAGAACCAGCTTTGAAATAGGCAGGGGAGGCTTCATAGTGTCTGGCTTCAGCTCAAATAAGAGCAGGGTAAGAGCAAGAACCACCTTCATTTCATTCATGGCAAACTTCTGTCCAATGCAATTCCTAGAGACATGGAGCAGAGAAAAGGAGAGAACAGGTATCAGGTTCCCTTAACCCAAGACCTAGCAGAGATTTATACAATCTCAATATGCATTCAAGACTTCCCACAGCCTGGTCCCAGCTACATTTCTAGACTGACTGCCAGGGGCCTTGTCCCTAGACAGGCTTGTCAAAGACTAAGAGGAAAAGACCAACAAATGTTATCAGTTATGCATCGAACATTAACCTTGTGTCCAAGGCTTATCATTACCAAACATTTCTGTATTTCCTTTGCCCAAGACCTTGGGCAACCCTTGGTGTGGCCCCACACCCAATATGTCCCCAGTGATACACACATCACAGCAAAATACAATGCAGACAAATTAGAAAAGTCACCCAGAGGTATGCTACCCCCACAACCATATTACTTTATCATACAGAGGTCTTAATTAGCTCTAGACATCTTCCTCCTCCCTAAAAAGCAACAGCAGTAAAATGGACCAACATAACAAAACCAGCAAAAAACCTTGACCTTCTCCCTATTTTCATGAGCTGGCTTCAGGCAGCTTCGACATTAAAGAGAGGCTTGAGGCTGATGTCCTTAGGACTTTCAGCAATGGATTCCTTCTTCTCACTCCCACAGCTGCACTGAACAGTTTCTTATGATAGGAACACTGAGCTCCCACCACTATACTACAACTTTATATCCTCTAAGCTGCCAGCAAACCAAATAAAACCAAATAAAACATTTAAGTGGTCAATCAGTTGGCAAGCACTTGTCAAACATTTCCTCTGTGCCAGGTACTATGCTAAATGCTGAACATTTAAGAAAAAGCAAAAAAAAAAAGTCCGTACTCTCAAGGAGCTTCTATATTAATGGGGAGAGAACACTGCAAAGCACATTACATGCTATTTACGTATATTTGTCTTTCTTTTTTTTTTTTGGTGAGACAATTGGGGTTAAGTGACTTGCCCAGGGACACACAGCTAGCAAGTGTCAACTGTCTGGGATTAGATTTGAACTCAGGTCCTCCTAACTCCAAGGCCAGAGCTCTATCCACTGTGCCACCTAGCTGCCCCGCTATTTATATGTTCTAAGCTAAAGCAAATCTATCACACTAAAATTGCCATTGATTGCTCCCCCTGGACTCCTATGACCCCTCTATCTGCTTGGGAGAGTCTGAGACTTGAATCATGGGGCTTGACTAGGAAATACTACTTTTAATTATCAGTCTCTCCCCTTACCTGTTCAATTGTGGATTTCTGGTTTCTAATTCCAGAATTAGAATTCTGAGGGAAGAGGAGAAACTAGAAATCAAAACTAATGTTTCCTACTCAAGCCCCATGATGCAAGTCTCTCAAATCCTGTGCTTGTTCCATTATACCACACTCCACCCATAACTAAATCAAGCAAATTACCATTCTCTGGATACATGACTTCTTATATATACATCTTTGTTGATACATTTTAGAATTCCCACCCTTACACCTCACCATATACTTATATGTGTGTGTGTGTGTGTGTATGTATACACACACACACAACACATATACACACATGGAAATCCTATCTATCCTTCAAGGTGCAGCCTCCCTGTAATGCATTCTTTGGATATTTATTTTACATGTTATTACGTCATCCAATTCTGGCCACACCGACAGGGGAGTGTGATAGAAGAGACTTGGAGCGGGCACCCAGATGGTGGACCCAAGTTGGCTGACTCAGCTTCCCAAATACTCTAGTCTACCCCAGAGTGCCCCAACCTTGGATTTGAATGGGGCTTGTGGCCAGAAGAACCAGGAACAAGGTGACTGAGAGAAGCAGAGGGGAACTGCAAGAAAGAGGCATGCATGTAAAGCCCTGAAGAGCCAACTGCATGGTTTGAAAGAGCACAAGTGAGTCACCACGATGATTCTAGAATGGGAACGAACAGTACGATTCAAACCCCAAAGATGCCCTGGTTGAAACCTGAAATGCTACTGGAGGACGGGACAGGAAAGAGCCACTGGCACCTCCTCCATCCCCCAGGGATGATCCTGGGGAACACTCAGCTCTTTTCCCCAGAAAGATCTGGATCTACACTGCGTTACTCACTCACTTTAGATTCTCCACTTCCCTCTGAACTCAAGAAGCATTCAACTCTCCAATGCTCACTTTCTCTTCTAAACCATTCCCAGTGGCAGTAGATCTTTATATCCCTAACCCCTGGCACAGTGTTGATTGATTGATAGATAAACGCTGGTAGGATCTGAATCAGAATTTCCTGGGCACTGCTTGCAATCCCAATCGTGGCCACCAGAGGGCAATAGGTACTATCCAATTCCTACGGCAGAGGGAATTCAAAGAAATTGCTTTCACCTGTCCAGTTGGATCTTACCAGTTTGAGAGTGTGCCCCAAGACATCTCAAGGCACCTGCCACTTTCCAACTGGTGCTGGAAAAAGTAGTCAAACACGAATTACCCCCAAACTGCTGGTGTATCTAGAGCCTTCGTTGTCATTGGAAAGAGCAGCCTAGCACTTCATGGGTGACCTCTCCACCACCACCCCAGCTCCCTTCTTCTCATGCTGATTTATTTCTCATTCATGCACTTCTCAAATGCAGATGAGCCCGTGACTCCCTGAAGTACTTGACCTTGCTCCCACATGAGTCCCCCAGCCCCCACCCCAAGCCTGCTTTTCAGCTCCCTTTCAACTGTTGTCTATCCCCATTCAAATGTAAGCCCCTGGAGGACAAGAACTGTGCTTCTTTTTGCTTGTATTCCCAGTGCTTAGCACAGTTCCTGTGCTTAATAAATGCTCTGTCATCTTTCTCTCCACCTATCTACTTATCTGTCTCTCTAAGACACTGAGAGAATGTAAAAGATGGATTAAAATGTTGTACTGTCTTACGAAAATTAAAAAAACCTGGATGGAAGCTATCACTTGACAAGGGCCCACATCGTAGCCCCTCTACCAGGTATGTGGGTCACATAGTATCATAGGAAGACATGAGTACTAACTCAGAGGAGACAGAAAAACTTCCAAATTGGCCGTGTCCCCAGAGTCTCCAAGGCCTAAGAACTTTCTAGGATTTGGTGGTTAGAGCTACAAATGTGTTAAGGTCTATGATTCCATTGCCAAACCACACTTAACCATATGTGACTGAAGAGAATTAGAAACAGAAAAGCCAAATGATTTTAAAAGCTACAAAGCCATTTGGAGACCAACAGATAGATGAATGTGAAACATTCTGTCAAATACTTGGTCAACTGCCTCACACACGCATTAGTGTTAGCCTGTGCAGATGCAGGCAAGCCTTGCATCCTGCATATGGATGCCAGTCTTTTGGACTTGGGAACAGTTCTCTCCCAAAAGAGTGTCGCTTGCCAGGAATTAGTTGCTCTTGCTAAAAGAGAACTCAGTGTGACACAGGACCCTGAGAAAGTTGATTCATTGAAGACCCCTACTCAATTCCAATTAGTATGAATCAATTGGATATGATTCCAAAGGGGAGTGATTATAAGTTCTGTATAAGGCCCCAGAGCTATGAACTGCAGATTTTAAGTTCATTTCATAAATCATAGGAAGCTAACTGGAGGCCCTCCACCCTTGTTTTTCCTTGTCATGGTGACCAAACCCAGTGTGGTGGAGGTGACTCAACTACATGGAAAGTCCTCCAAATTTATTTTTGTGCCTCTGGACCATCCTATCTTGTTTAACACGAGCAGCTGACCATCTCATGACCACTTAGTCAGTCCTTCACTCAGTCTGTGACCCCTTCCCTGCTAATAAGTCATTTTTGTCCCTCAAGAGCAAGGTCTATCAACCAATGAGATTCTGTATTTTGCCATGCCTCTTTCGCATATTTGGGTAAGAATAAGAAATACATTAATCCATACTTTGTTTAATAAGTCACATAGTAATATAGATTCTAATAGAAGGGCTCTATAACAGTCCTCAAACTTTAATGTAATGTTCATTACTTGTTTAGCAGCTGCAGCGCTTACTTGCACAAATCATAAGAATGCTGAAGCAGGTATTTCCATCCTGTTTTGCTCAAATTCCATGACCAGACCAAGCATGGGTGATTGCATGGTATGGAAGCTCCCCACCCCCCAATATGTTCTTGGAGTGTATGTCTAGCTCCTGCCTGACCTAATGAGAAGCTCATTCATCTCGTGGAGATTCATTCATCTAGTCAGTGGAGATATTCCTCACTGTGCCCAACTTATGACCCTGCTGACAGATCATGTTTGCTTTTCTTAGCCTACGTGTCATGTCAACCAATGGAATTAGTCTGTATTTGGTACAGCTGTTTTTGAATGTCTAGATAGCTAAGCCTATAAAAATAGGGCCCTGGAAGGAGGGGGCATCTCAGGTCATGAGGAGGCTCTGGGGTCTGCTTCATTAGAGGGCACCCTGAACAATTTAATAAAGTGCCGTTGGTTCACAGCTCTGCCTCGGTCTCTCTTATTGTAGGTTGAATAATTTTTATCCCCACAGTGCTACACAACAACTGAAGTTCTTGGCTTAGAAGCAGGTTGTCACTGAAAAGTTCAAAGCCCATTTGTCTGGAATTAACTTTCTGATGGGAACTGGCAGCAAACCTCTGATCTGAATGTTGACCACACCATGCTAGATGCTGCTTGCTACAGATATCACTGACCAAGGAGGACCATGCGATGGTGACACTGTAGCTTCCTTTGCTGGTTCCTCTTCCACTCGGGGTCTGGAAGGGAACCTACACTCACCCCCACCTTCTATGTCTGGATCTAAGGGTCATTTATTCCCTATTTCATTCATTCATTTATTGCTCATTTGTTCATTCAACACCTATTTACTCAGAAGGAATTCATGCTGGTCACACTGACTCACCTGGATCCTGCAGAGAAGGGCAGGAAGGCATGGGAATGCTGGAGAGTCAAGTTCTCAGGGGAGAACCGGAAAGGATTGAACACCTGTAAGAGGAGCCCCTGGGTCAGTGGAACTAAGTGGAGGGCTTTTCAACCAACCACCACCCCCTCCCCACCTTGGGTCAGTGGAGTTGGGCTGGGGGCTGTTCACCCCACCATCACCCCCTCCCAGACCCAGGTCAATAGAATTGGACTGGGGGCTGTTTACCACCACCACACACACACACACACACACACACACACACACACACACACATCCCATGCTGAGTCATGCTGTCTTGAAAAGGCCAACTATTAAGATAGCAGCCAACAGATACAGGATTCAGGGGCTAACAGTATCAGAGGGAGCCCATCTCTCAAGCTTTAGAGGGTGCTCCTCCAGCTCCCTAAAATGTCCACACACATCCATACCACCTCCCCTGAGTCCATCCCCATCATGGGGCCAACATACTTCTGGATTTTCCCACACCCTGGGGTTGTGGTGAAGAGCATATATATGCAGTGAAACTGAGTTTCCTAGAGAAAGAAAAAGAAAAAAAGCTACATAAGGTAAGCAGTGACCTTCTCGGGAATGGCAGCAGGGGTCAGGAATAAAAGGCAAAGTTACCAGATCTGCCCTTCCATTTGCGGGGCTGTCAAGTGCCTCCATGAGGCTGATTGAAGGTTCAAGGCAATTGACCTGACCCAGAACTTTTGTTGTTCAGTTGCTTCAGTTATGTCCTACTCTTCATGACCCCATTTGGGGATTCTTGGCAAAGATACTAGAGCAGTTTGCCATTTCCTTCTCCAGATCATTAACAAAAGAGCTAGAAGATATCTATTAGCCTCCAAATCATGACCAACCAGGCAGGCCTGAAAAAGAGTGAGAATTTCTCCTCCTGTACCACCACAAGACAAAGGATTACAGATTATAGCTCTAGCAGAATGGTCCTGCCCAGTTTAGCCCAGAGAATGCACTGGTCAGGGGCTCAATTGGTATTTGCTTAATTATGTTTACCCCCAAACACCCCGCTGAACCTGGGGTGACAAAGGCTTCTAGAATCTAGAGGGATTCATGCTACCAACAGATGGACAAAGTTAAGCTTTATGGGGGTTAGGGGAAGAGAAGGGAATAAACATTTATGTAGCACCTGCTATTTGCCAACACTGTGCTAAAATGTTTTTGTTTATTTGCTTGTTTTACAATTATTAACTCATTAGATCCTCACAATAACTTTTTGAGATAGGTTCTATTATTATTCCCCATTTTACAGTTGAGGAAACTGAGGCAGATGTTGTTATTTGCCTGGGTTCACACAGCTAGTAAAAGCTTAAGGCCAAATTTGAATTCAGGTCTTCCTGAATCCAGGGCAGTGATCTATCCACTGTTCCTCCACCAGCTCCCTTAGCTCCCTCATTGAGAGCCCCTAGCATGACAGAGATAACTGCTAATCATTGCTGCTAGTGAAGGGCTTTGTGGTTACAAATGTTATTGCACACATTGTATTATTTGACTCATAAAAACCCTGCGGAAGCCAACACTACAGTATCATTATCTCCATCCCACAGACAAGGAAAGAGAAGTTTGTACATTAACAAACCATTAATAAGTTCTTGAACCAAGATTAGAACCCAGGTCTCTGGATGCTAAGTCCAGCCTCCTTTGCACTGTCTCACTTGGTGTGGTGGCTCTGGGGCTTTCAGAAGGAACCCTAAGGAACAGGCAGTGGTTGGGGGGTAGGGAAGTTGGTGGGAGGAGGGAGAGAGCCACGTCCCTCCCCCACCCTAAAAAGTTTTTCTGTTGAGGAAAAGAAAAAGGTGTTCAGGGTGTACAGGCTGGCTATGTACGACAAAGCTAAGACAGTTTAACCCTTATTTCACTTCTGTTTTCTCTGCCATGAGGTATAATCTCTGAATTAGAAAGGAAGGAGCATAAAGGGCTGGGGGGGGGTAACTGTGGGACACGTTTGTGACAGGGACAAGTCCCTTGGACCATTACCTTCCCCTCCTTAGACCTTGGTTTCCCTACCTAAAAAATGGAGTGACCCAACGAGATCATTTTTATAGCCACTTCCAGCTCTGAGACTTCAGCTTTTGAGTCATTTTGACTGTTGCGGTCATGTAGTTTCTCCTTTGTTCTGGAAGAGGCCCATGGCATCAGGAAGATGATGCCATGACTTGCAATTGAATTGGATTTGAGGGAGGGAGCCTCATTCTTCCCTTCAGAGCCATTTGGGTCCAGTGGCCAGATATGGATCAGGACGAGTAGAGACAGCCCAGCTGCAGTGAGAGACCTTGGCCTTTTTAAGTTATTGTCTTTCCCAGGTCACAGTTTGACTGAAGGAACACCCATTTTGACTGTTAGCATTTCCTTGAAAACCACATTCCCTTTTTCTCTCTGCTTCGGTTGGAAGGGGAGGGACCAGATGTTGTTGACTAGCCTTAGTGAGTTAGTAAGGAGGGGTAGGAGTTTGAGCTCTGTGCGGTACATTGCCCTGTCTGGGAATTCCCTTTGAGCTTTGACATCCCCTTTGAAGTGAAGAGTAAACAGGTCAGAACATTACTGACCCAAGTGTGACAAGTGCAAGCAGAAAACAAGAGACATGAGTGGTCCCTTCTCAGGAGCAGGAGGGAAGCTAGCCTGTCTGGCAGGATTTGAAAATAAAGTCTGGCGTAAGATGTATTCTCATTTGAAACTAGAGTGGAGCATGGACCTCAAGGTTGAGCAGAAAACCAGATAACTTTATAATCTCAGACCTCAGATGATCTTCTCAGAAGTGGGCGGAGCTCAGAGGTCATCTGCTCCAACCTCTCACCCTTTTGGCAGGTGACCCGCAAATATATAGCATGAGTAAAAATAGGAGACTCAGTACCTGCTCTTAAGATGCGTCCATCTGGAAAGGTGATGGTCTCTTTGATATCCCTGCCAATGGATGGGACAGGAGGATAGAGACGAAGGGCTTCCTTGATGCACATAGTGGTGTATGGAAGCTGGCCCAGGTGGTCCCTGAAATCAAACAGAAGGGAGAGAAGGCAATAAGCATTTCTATGGCTCTTACTATGTGCCAGGTATCCCGTTCGATCCTCACAACAGCCCTGTGGAGGTAGGTACTGTTACTATCCCCATTTTGCAGCTGAAGAAATGGAAGCAGACAGAAGGTAAGTGACTTGCCCAGGGTCACACAGCTAGTAAATGTCTGAAGTTGGATTTGAACTCAGATCTTTCTGACTCCAGGCCCCGTGCCTACTTCACCACCTAGCTGCCTAGGAGCACTGAGAGTCTGAGGAGTGGAGCCTATCAAGGAATGGGGACTTGGGCCAGAGTGGTTAAAAGCGGATTGGTCTGTCATGACCAAAGAACATATGTCAGTGAGAACCTCTGTGTATACCGAGGCTGGTCCTCAGAGAGCAGCCTCCATCACAGTACAACCTGCCAGAACTTGGCCGTCAGGGCATTTGTCTTAAACTTCAGATGACCAATGAGCCAGACCTAGAATCAAATAGGATACGGTGGCTGGATTGTGTTTGGGAAATTGTCCAGAGATTTTACTGGAGCCCGAGGGATTTCCCAACAACATCAGCAACCACCTTTTAAATTCTTTCTGGAACTTTCTGTGCCACAACTTTTCACAGTCTCTCCTTTTTTGAGCTCTGAGCATCTTCTCTGATTCTTGTCAGGAGCTCCCTAGTCCTCTCTGGAACAACTGAAGTGACTTTTAAAGGTCACCCAGAGCCGTGGTCAAGAATACCAAGTTCAGTCGATGGCTCCCACTAAAATTCACTCAAGGAACTTCAGAGTTCTCTAGTCAGTTTAACACCTTGTGATTATATCCTGAGGTTTCAAAGACCAGCTCCCTTATGCTAAGTTATCTCTTTTATTTCACCTTTTCTGGGAATTTGTATGATTTTTTTACATTTGAATGGGAGAGATAACTTGTTGAAAGGTAGCTAGAAAAGTGATGCTTTGGCCTACCGAGTCAAATTCTTTTTTATGATTTAACAATCCTACTGACAAGATTTAGATGGGCTTCCTTGTGGAGTGGGATGAGCAGGGGGCTAAGTCACCAAAGACTGCTGGCAGTTTTATTTCTTCTGATCTCAAGAAGATGGGAATCTCTTAAGGGATCAAAACCAGAGGGTGAAGTTTTTCTATATGGTGTAAATTCTAAGTATCTCTGGAGAAGTATGCAAAGAATAGAGCTCAGGTGTTGGGGGGTGGGCAGAAAGACAGACAGAAACAAAGACGTAGCCAGAAGGACAGAGACAGAGATACAGAGACAGGGAGAAAATAATGGCAGCAACAATAAGGGCCAGTTCCCCAGCCCTGCCCAGCACTTAATGAGCTAAGCTGGAAAGAATTGATGGCAGGGGCCGCTAGGTGGTGCAGTGGATAAAACCCCAGCCCTGGAGTCAGGAGGACTTGAGTCCAAATCTAGCCTCAGACTCTTGACACTTACAAGCTGTGTGACCCTGGGCAGGTCACTTAACCCCATTGCCTAGCAAAAAAACAACAACAAATAGAATTAATGGCAGCAGAAAAAGCAATAGGCAAAGAGAAAACAAAAGAAAGACTGAGCTGTAGCAGAGAAAAGGAGGGCCAGCATAGGGCCATCAGCCTTTGTGGACATCTCAGAAGATTCAAGCTGAAGCCACAGGTTGACTCCACCTATTCAAGGACTGAGTAAGTTTTGAGAAAATAGCTACTCTTTCTCCAGCTTCCCTTCTTCTTGCCTTTTCATTACCAGGCATTGTAAATTGCTCTGCTTTTTATGACAACATTTCCAGTTAATCAGAAGTTTTGCCTTAAACCTAATGAGGTCAGGGATTCACTCAAGATAAACATACATCTAAATTGAAATAGTGACAAACTTTAACTTAAATGTTAAGAAGTTTCTTAACTGGGGGCTCCGAGCAATTGTAATTATGCTCCTAACTTAAAAAAAAAAAAAGTTCTGTGAAGCAGCAGAGGGGATCACATGGACCTAAAAGGTGATTATATTACCCTTAGGCTAAAAAACAATAACAATCTATTTGTTGCAACAATTGCTGCGACTAGGCATCCAGAAAGGAGGGAAGGTAGGGAAGGTGGTGAGGACTATTGGCCAACTGCACCCTTCACAATGACTAACCACTATATCCACCAGCAATGCCATGGTCAACGACAACAATCACAACAAAAGAACAGTGAAAACAGATCCTTCATCCACATTTTCCAGTCAATTATGTGACTGTAAATGTGTTCTATATTTTAGAATATTGTGTATGGAAACCTAGCTTTTCCCTTCTTATATCTTCATCTGATATATGTATAGATTATTGTAATTAATATTTGGTAGAAATGGGAAAGGAAGCAAATGGATTGGGAATTATTGATAGTTGCTTAGTTACCTTTCTTCCTCCTAATAATAAGGACTGTGATTTTTTTTCCCATGCCTTAATTTCCTTGTTCAGATATCTTAATCAATTTCTTGATACTCTCAAAATTGTGTTATATCTGGCATGGATGGATGGATAGATGGACAGATGTTTGGTCTAGTCTGGATGCTCTTCCCATCTTTTTTTTTTCCTTCAGTGCCATTTCCTATTTCACTATCAACAGTTAGTTAACAACCTTTTTTTGGGGGAGGGGGAAGGGCTCTTTAGGTCTGACTATTGTGGAGATTGATGTAGACCAGTTATACTTTCTTAGGAGGTAATAATATCCTCTTTCAAAGTCTGTTCTTTTATTCATTTCTCATTTTTGGCATCAACAGCTTGTTTAAGTAGGTCAAGCTAGAGTTGTCTAAATTGTTTTCCATATCTTCTCATTTTTATTCTCTTTTTCTCATTTGGTATTGATTTTTATCTTTGCTCTAACACATTGATAGTCTGAATATATGCAAACCCCATATCAGGGACCCATTTTTTTCCTGTTTTATATCGTAATTTAGTCAATTTGTATTGATTATATAGTAGTATATGTATTATAATATCAATTCAATTTTTAGAAATATTATTTGGTATGAATTATATTATCCAATTATGAAAATGTCACTATTCATAAAAGGGTCCATCTTGCCAGAAAACGTAGGAAGAAGTAGTACTTAAGAATAAAAATAGTGGGGGTCCTAGAAGAACTCATTGAGAGTCTTTGACATGAGGGTGCAAGGGAGGGGCCATAGATTCTAATGAGGATCTTTTCATTTTTCCTGATACTGATGTCCTTGCCCCAACTATCCCAGTCTCTACCTCTCCCCACATGAGTGAATACCATGTTTCCCTTAAAAGTGATGACATGATTTATGATTGCTTATTAGATACTGGAGCTTCTAATTCACTTTTGATAAGCAAACCAGATTCTGAGTGTACTATTGGATTTCTAAATGTTTCTGGGACCTCAGGGAAACCTCAAAGCTTCCCCAAATTGTCTCCCCACAAGGTAACTGTCATCTTTTCTCAATAGAGTGTTCTTCTCTCCTCATGCCCAGTTCTCCTGTCATCCTGTTAGGCTATGATCTCCTTTGAAAAATTAGAATCACTGTTTCCTGCTCCCCCAATAGCTCTCTGTCCTTGCAACTCCTAAGAACACACACACACTGTTTCTCTTTGTTCCATGCATTGTCTCAGAATGCCCAAGAGACCCGATGATAGTCCGGGGATTCCAACTGACATCCCTGATGGGCAACTTCATTCTCAGATGTAAGATTGTTAAAATCCACTGTCCCTGCCACCATCCAGACTAAGGGAGCCTCTTCTACCCACACCATCCATTCCTCAGTACCCTTTATCCAGGAAGGCTATTGAAGATTTTATACCCATTATATTATGGACTCTCTGATGGACCAAGATATTATTGTTTCATGTAAATTCCCTTGTAACACTCCTATCCTCCCTGATAAGAAATGCAAGCCAGGGCTTAAAAGTAAATCTGTTTATCATATTGTAAAAGACTTATGCACTACATGCTTATGTTATACCCGGGCACCCAGTAGTGTCTAACCGTGATTCCTTGTGAGTCTACCTGTTTTTCTGTGACAGATCTTTGCTCAGTTTTTTATTAGCATTCCCATTCACCCAGACACTCAGTACCTGTTCACCTTTACCTGGAAGAACGCACAATGGATGTAGACTCATTTGCCTCAAGGTACGTGGAAAGCCCCACCTTGTTCTCTCAAATCTTGCAACAGGACTTAACTTCCATCATTTTCATGGACTCCTCCCTGGCTCAGTACATTGAGGATCTCCTACTAGCAGCACCCAGATTGGGATCTCTCAAAATGACAGCTGTCATCTTCTTCTCCAACTTCATCTGAGGGTTCATAAAGTTTCTAAAGCCAAGGAGCAGTGGTGCTTCCTCCTGGTGGAGTACCTTGGTGTCATCCTGTCTTCTGACACATGCTCTGTTTCCTGAAAGCTTGAACAGGTTCCTCAACAATTGTCAGTTCCCGTGACCAAAAAGACAGTCACATGCTATTTTGGGAGTGGCTGGATATTGCCATCAATGGATTCCTTCCTCAGGTGAGATCGCTAAGCCTCTGGTTCTTTGAACCAAAGATACTGTTTCAGAACATTTGTAACTTGAACCAGAACATCTTACTGCCCTTGTGAACCCCAAGAGGGCCCTGTTAGCAGCTCCAGCACTGGTTCTTCCAGATTCCAGTAAGCTTTTTTCTCTTTCTGTACACAAATGCAAGGAAGTGGCTTCAGGGGTCCTCACTCAACCCCTTAGACCCTCTCTTCACCTTCTAGTATGTTACTCCAGTCAGCTAGATTCAGTGGCTGCAGGGGCTCCGTCCTACTTGTAAGCTACAGCAGCCAGCATCCTTTTAGTTGAAAAGGCATGTGATTTAGTTTTAGGGACTCCACTTGCAGTACAGTGACCCCATGAGGTTGAAGCTCTCTTGTTGAGACATTGCACTCCAGCTTTCTCTGATTAAACATTTGCTAGGCATGAAGTGACTTTATTGAGCAAGGAAAATGTGACTCTAAAGCACTATTCACATTACTTCCTGATATACCTACCTTAGGTGAACCTCTCCATGACTGTTCCTCTCTTGTTGATGTGACCACAAGGTCCCACAATGGCCTTTCTGACATCCTAACATTTAATCAACATGAATTATATGCTATTGCTTTCAGCAGTAGTCCCCTAGCTTATACTCCTTTCAAGTATATGCAAATTGACCACTGTAAGGTCTGCCTAGTAGTCATTGATCAGCTCATTCAATGCTTTGAGTCAAAACATTTCCTGATTCCGAGGCCACAGCCAGCTTTGTTGCTAAAATTGTTCTAAAAAAGAGATTGTACCCCACTTTGACCTTCCTGCTCACACTGATTCAGACACAGGATCTCATTTCACTGACACGATTCTTCAAATTTATTCTTGCTTTAAGCTAACTCCCAGGTTTCATACCCCTGATCACCTCCAGAGTTCTGGTCAAATTGAACATATGAACAAAGAACTTGCCCTGACTGGCAAACCAGGCACTTAAATGGCCTGAAGTACTCCCTTTGGGGGCAGCTAGATGGCACAGTGGATAGACTGCTGGACCTGGAGTCTGGAAGACCAAAGTTCAAATCCAGCCTCAGACACTCCTTAGCTGTGTGACCCTAGGCACATTACTTCACCCTGTTTGCCTCAGTTTTCTCATCCGTTAAATGAGCTGGAGAAGGAAATAGCAAACCACTCCAGGATCTTTGCCAAGAAAACCCCAAATGGGATCATACACTGAACAATAGCACTCCCCCTTGCTTCATGTCATCTACGAAGCAGACCAAGGTGGGCATTACATCTTTCTCCTTTTGAAATGCTTTTTTGTCGTCCCGCTATAAAGGCAAAACCTTTCTCCCCAGTATATACATCATTATTGGGAGATATACTTCTTTTGCTTCTTACACACAAGAATTACAAAACAGACTGAGGGAACTTTACAATACAGGGGCTCAAGTACAGACTGAGCCCTTGGACTTTTCACTACATGATTTCCACCCTGGAGTTAAGGTCTACGTCAAGAATTTCCAGTGGATTGGTGGAATTCTACCTGCCTGGGAAAGCCCATTCAAAGTATTGCTGACCATCCCAACTACAATCAAGATCAGAGAAAAAGGCTCTTGGATACACTGTGCCCACATAAAACCTGCCCCTTGCTGCTTCATGTGAGGGCAATGTATCCAAAAGTCTTCTTTGCTTTGCTTTATCTACATAGCAAAACCTAGTGTTTCTCCTTCCCCAGTTAATCTAGAGAATAAAATTGTCAACAGTGGGAAAATGGATACTTTTTACAATACCATTTCTTTATGCCTCACAGTCATACTCATTATATTTTTTAAATCTTACTCATTTTCTTGTTGTTGTTTATGATATTATTACTGGTTGCTCTTTCCAAATCCACTCCTCCCAAGAGAATTGGAAAATACAATACTATTAGCAAACTTCATGGTGATGTAGAACATGCTTCGCATCATCTTAGAGCAATTGGGCCTTATGGATGCTGGGTTTTGTCATCAGAGAATCCATCAGAGCAACCCTATTACTGAATTCCCTATTACTGAAAATGAAACTCTCCCATACCCATTGACTCTGAACATCCCAAAACACCATCTTTGAAAGGATTTTTTTTACACCCTTTGCTTTAGCCGCTTATAGTACTTATACTCCTGGAAGGAAAATAGAAGATAACAAGTCAAGACCAGTATCACTGACCCAACTTTATAACAAACATGTTATTTTCAAACTTGATGGGACCCCTGAAATCTAGGACTGTATTGCTTATGGTTGCCACTCCCCTCCTGAGTTTTCATTTCTGTATCACCAAGAAGTCAGGTCCTAATGATACTGTAAGGCTTAGGAGATTTGAAGATTAACTTTTACTTTTCCTGATATTTCCAAAGGAGATCTTTTCATTTGTGTGAAAAACCTGCCTCTTTGTGGGGATTAGAGACAAGAAACCTCAATATATTTCTTTGGCCAACCTTACTTATAATGGTTCTAGCTGGACCAAGTGTGATGCGACCTTCAGTGCAAATTTATACTAGAAGAATAATTGAACCTTTGGAGAAATTAAATATTCTTATCCCCTTCCCAAGTTCCCTGGGGACTAGTAGCCCCTGAACAATTCTTTGTTTGTGATGTTTATTTGGAATGTGTGGAATTGCCTATTTGGCCCTGCCGGTATCAGTCTTTAATCATAATAGCACTAGTGGAAAGGAAAACTACAAGATACTTGGGAGCATGGTGGTTTAATATCAAAAAAGAGAAGAGAGCTAGTTAATGGAGATGTGAATACAATCCAAAACCCTGTGAAAGAATATGGGGTAGGCATGAAGATACCCTGATCCCTATTTCCATTTAAAAGTGTTGCAGCCCTAGAGAAGACTGCTAGAATTCTCTCACTTGAAACTGAGGAACTTGAACAGGTCACAAGTGAGTCCATCTCCATCTTCCAAATCAAAGTCAATTCTTGAGCATAAATGGTCTTACAAAGTTGTATAATCTTACAAGGATGGGCCTGTGCTAGGATCAATCAATCTTTTTGTTTCTGCATTAACCAATCAGAAGAAATCATGACAAGCCTTCATAAAATCCAACAGGTTATAGCAGAAATGCAATTGCCTAAACCAAGTGATCCCTGGTGGAATCCTTCCTCATGGTTCACTTGGTTGTAAGGGAATGGTATATTAGTCACTGTAGGAAAACAAGCTCTCTTTGTTTTATTCATCATCATTGGTCTTAGACTCTGTGTCAGCTGTTGTTCTAAACTATTTGAAAGGGTCCTTCCTACTGTTCTTTTCTTGGCACATAATGCTGATAATGAACATATAAAAAACCTTATAAATTTGGCTTATAGATAGTGATCCATGGCCCTGAGGATCAAAGGGCGGAATTGTTAAAACCAACACTGACCCCATTTTGCAAACAGCCTCCATTTTGTTGTTTTTCTGAAAATCGCTTGATTTGGGGACATTTCACTCACTTACTCTACCCTTCCCAACTTGGAAAGTCCCTAATCTTTCCTCCAATAAGAAATCAGATTACCTAATTCTATATCATGTTTTGTATCCTATGTGTTATTTTCTTTTAATGTATAAAAATCTGCGCAAAATCTGTATTCAGGGTTTTTGTGCCTGCTGAGGGTCCTTTGACCCAGTTTGTTGTGTTTATCTGCTAATAAATCTCATGGCTCAGAATCTGTCTCCTCAATTATTATAATTCCCTATAGTGTAGCTGGATCATAGAGTGCATGGAGAGGATTAAGGCATAAAAAAACCTAGAAAGATAAGAAGGGTAAAGTTGTGAAAGGCTTGAAACACAAGAGAATTTTCTATTTGATCATGAAAGTAATAGGGAACTACTAGAATTTATTGAGCAGGGGGAGAGGGTAACATGGTCATATCCATGTTTCAGAAAGATCACTTTGGTAGCTGAGTGGAGGATAAGAGTGGAAGATAAGTGGGATTAATTAGAAAGCCATTGCAGTAGTCTAGGACAGAGGTGATGAGAGTCTGAACCAGGGTGAGTAGTAGCTATGTGAGAAGAGAGACCATATTCCCACCTGCTCTTTTTTTATTACTTACAACATAAACTCCTTGAGGTCAGGAACTATTTAAATTTTTGCCTTTGTATCCACAGTACCTAGAACAGTGTCTGGCACATAGAAGGTGGGTAATAAATGCATATTAACTGACTGATTGATTCATCCCAAGGGAGAATCAAAGAAATGCAGACAGGAGCAGACAGTATTCCAATCATCTCAAAAGTCAGCTGAACCCAACATACCGGTTTTTTTTTCCTGTCCCACAACAGTCACAAAAGCCAAGCTTTTTTTTTTTTGTATGGAGTCAATAGGAGGACAAGGGAGGCTCTCTAAGAAAGAAGCTTTTCCTTCTCTCTCCTAAGTACTTACCAGGTGATAGAGGTCCCATCCCCTAGGACTCCCCTGATCTCCTCCCGGCATTTCTGCTGATGCTCAGGATGTGTGGCCAGGGCATACAGGAGCCAAGAAATGCCACTGGCAGTGGTGTCATGGCCCTCAAACATGAATGTGTCCACCTCAGCCCTCAGCTCTTCATCCAACAAGCTGTCACCGCCCTCTGTCTAGGTGAAGAAAAGCCTTTCTTGTCAGTCATCCTCTAGGACCTCAGGGTGGCCTCCTACCTAACTGGATTAAGTGGGCATGTCCAGTCTATGGACAGCCGTGGACGTCTAACTTGCAGAGCAAGAGATGCCATTGTCTTATTACTTCTGCCCTGGTAAAACTCCATCTGGAGGACTGTGTTCAGTTATGGACATCATAGGTTACCTGGAGAAAGCCCAAAGAAGAGCAACCAGGATAGTTAGGGGGACCTGAAACTACATCATATCCAAACTGTTTAAAGGAGCTAAGAATGTTCACCCCGGAGAAGATTAGGAGTGTGGGAGAAGGCTGCCTTCTTCTAATATTTGCAAGGTTATCATGTAGGAGAATACAAATCCCTGTATTTAGCCTCAGAGGCCAAAACAATGACCAGTGGATGGGGGTCACAGAGAAATATCTTGACTTGAGAGGAGGAGCTGTCCAACAATGGAACAGGCTGCCTGAGGAAGAAGCCCCCTCCCCATCAAGAGGTTTTAGAACAGAGAGTGAAACCACAGCTTGTCAAGGAGACTGGAGAGCAAGGGTCTTTAATCTTTCTTTGTGTCCTGATCCCTTTGGCAATCTGGTGAAGCCTATGGACACCTTCTCAGAATGCACAAAATAAAATACCAAGGTTCTAAAGGAAAGCAAACATGAGTGAAAATAAAGATGTAACTTTTCCCCAAACAAGTTGAGACCCCAGGTTAAGAAGTCTAGCTGCAGAGGAAGTTCGTACATTGGGAGTGAGGGTAGGGCAGATGCTCGCTCAAGTTCTTTCAAGCTCTGAGATGCTACAAAAACTAGAGATAAACATTCATAATTAAGTTAATGGGACAGAGACAAGTTCTTCACCCAATCCCTCTCCCATGGGATGAGCCCTAAGGCCCCATAATGCTCACCCTGGCACAGAGGAGAATGTCCAGGAAATCCAAGTGTCTTTTTCTGGAGATGGCCTCCAGCCCTCCTTCCTGTTCGAGTTGCTGCCTTCTCCTCTGAATCACCTGGTCTGCTCCAGGAAAGTAGATTGGCAGATTGTGGTCATGAAGCAGGAATCCTCAAACCCCTGGGAGGCAGCCATGCATGTCTAAAGATCTTTGCCCTGCCCCAAGCTGCCTGACAGAAGAATAGGGCCTGCCCCTTGGAGGTTCAGAGAGCTAAAACTAGGATCAGCAGGTGAAATTCCTAGAGAATGGAGTGTCAAGTTAGAGTGATACCCTTAATCCTAGACATGTTTAAGCAGAGCCTGGATTATCCTCTCTGAAGAAACAAAGCAAAGATTGCTACATAAAATGGGTGGATTGCCTAGAAGCCCTCAAAAGTCCCTCACAGCTCTTAATTTTCCAGACTTCAAACTCATGTCTTTGCCGCTACATTCTCCTGGAACTTCCCTTAGCACCTAGGACCTCCTCATCCTGGAACAACTAACCTCCCCTGTGGCCTTCTCACTGTGGAATATCCTTCCATCAAGCTTGCCCTCTTCTCCCAATGGTTAGTTTCTTCCGAAACCTTCATTTTGTGGAAGGGCACAGACTGGCTGGCCTTTATTCGCCTCCGTTTTTCACTTTCCAGACTTTAAAATCATGCTCCCATGCCACTTACTTTCATCTTCCCCTCCTCCCAACCCCGGCTCTTCAGCTACCTTTTGTGTATTGTCTTTCCCTATTAAAATGTAAATTTCTTGACTATCTTTCTTTTTGCTCGCATTTATATCCCTAGCACTTAGTACAGTCCTTGGCACATAGTACATGCTTAATTTTTTTGTTTTCTTCCTCCTTTCTTTCCTTCTTTCCTTCCTTCCTTCCTTCCTGCCTCCTTTTCTTCCTGTGGGCTTTTATATTGCCTGGGGGTGAGAATGATGCACCCCTGTCCTGACCTCACCAGCAGAAAGGGGAGCTGCCTAGGGAGAGTATAGGGGAAATCCTTGGTAGAAGCCATGGGGACGTGTTCATTTTCAGGAGGTGCTGTCTTACTCCTTGGTGGGCAAGGGCCTCCTTGTACCAGAACTGGAGATCCTAAATGTCTGCTGTTTCCTGTTCCATCCCCTAAGCTGCACACATTTGTGAATATATGGGAAAGCCTGACCACACACATGTGCCTGCTTGGGTTTATATGGAGATATACATATCTGTGTGCTTTGATATGAGGGAGACTCTACAAAATTCTGGGCCATCCTCAACACCCCATCTCCAGTGTCTCTGAGTTTTTCAGAACGTGTGTGTTTAGGTGGGATAGTTGAGACTAGGGGTAGATGTCTTGCGATGACTTAGCTTCAAATCTTTTGTAATGAATGGTCCTGACCCAAGTGGGTGGGAGTGGGAGTAAAGAGCCTAAAGGGAATGGAGAGAGTGAAGAGGGGAGGGATGGGAGAATGAGGAGTGGGTAGAGAGTTAGGAAAGAGGAATTTGGGGGAATAGTAGGGAAGAGATCAAAGAATGGAGTGGAGGATGTGAAGGGAGTGGTTGGAATATACAGACAAAGGGAATAAAGGGAATGAACAGTATGATATGAGGAGATAAAAGAGATGGAAAAGAAAAGATGTAGAAATAGAAATGCGTGAGTGTATCACAGTATAGTGGACAGAGCACTGGATTTGGAATCGGAAGATCTGGTCTTGAATCCTGACTCTACTACCAACTATGAACTTGGACGAATCACTTCTTTGGTCTCAAATGGACTCAGTAACATCTAAGACTTGTTCTATTATCTTAGGCCTGCCAAGGTTTCCTTCTGGGAGTCTATGGACTCCTGGGGTATTGACAATGTGCTGAGATCACCAAAAGAGACCTATCCAGATAAGCAATACCTGTGTACTGATGGGCCCTTTGCGCAGCCTCACGGGTTCTACGGCCAGCAGAGCTGAACCAGTAGAGGACATCATTGTGGTAGAATGCATTCCGCATCCGAGAACTCAGCAGATAGCTTAGGTCATGAACAGCTTGGATGTACAAATTTGAGTGCCTGAAGGGAAGGAGAGACAGAGGAGAAAGGACATGGCCTCCATCTTCACTCAGAAGATGCAGTCTCTGAAATGAGCTCCCTCCACACCTGGAATCCCCTGCATCCCTACCTTCCATTTCTTCCTTCCCTTTAGACTGTCCTCTTCTTCAGACCTCACTCCATCAGCCCTGGAGCTGTGGGTCCCAACCCTTAAGTCTTGAACTGAACAAGGCCAAGGGCAGATCCCTAGAGCATTCCACCACAGACCTCTCAGAGGTGGGCATCACAGCCCCATAGAAAAAAAGCTTAGTGACTATAGACCTATGGCTGAAGGTGAGTCAGCAGAACCTGGTGACTAACTCTGGATAGCATGACAGAGGAAAGAGACAAAATGAACAGCAGCATTTCACACCTGGATGCCTAGCTGACTCACCACCATCTCCTAGGGACCAGCTACTCAACTGGTCCTCAAGGCACCCAGCTAGGGAGTGGAAAGACCTGGCTTGAAAATATGAAGAGCTTGGCCCAAGTTCTGGCTTTGACACCTATACTACGTGACTGAGTAAGTCATTGAACCTCTCTGTGCCTCAGTTTCCTCATCTATCAAAATGAGAAGGTTGGGCTAGATAACCTCTAAGGTACCTTCCCACCTGAAATCTTCCCTCTCATGGCACCTCCTGTCTCCTTCAGTACTGAGCTCTAGAATTATCTCCTCCTCCTCCTCTTCCTCCTCCTTCTCCTTCTCTCTCCCTCTTTCTCTCATTCTTTTCTCTCCCTCTCCCTCTCTCTCTCTCTTCCTTCCTCTCTCTCCTATCTCCTATCTCTCCTTTCACTGTGTCACTATTCTCTCTTACCCCTCTCTATTCTCCAGTATCCCTTCCTCCCTCTCTTATTTCCCCCTTGTCCTTCTTTCTCTGTCTCTCTTGGTCTCTCTGTTTCTCTCTTTGTCTCTCTCCCTCTCTCCATCTCTTTGTCTCTCTCCCTCTCTCCATCTCTTTGTCTCTCTCTCCCCCTCTGTCTGTCTTTATCTCTCCCCATCTCTCTATGTCTCTCTGTATGTGTCTCTCTCTCCTTCCCCCTCTGTCTTTCTGCCTCTCTCCGTTTCCCCCCACCTTTGTCTCTCTGTCTCTGCCTCTTTCTGTTTCTCTATCTCTGTGCATCTCTCTTCTTTCCCTCTCCATTGACTCTTCTCCCTATACTCAGAAGCATGCTAAGATCCCCTGCCATAAAAAAGCTTTCCCTCAGCCCTGTCATCTCTTCAATCTTCCCATAGCTTTCCACCCCTTCACTTTCAAATTTAAAAAACCATCTTCACTCTCCATCCTTTCTTCCCTTCCACCCACAACCTGTAAATCTGGCTTCTGTCTCAAACTCTACAGAAAACACTCTCAAAGATGACTAGTGAATTGATTTCATTTTCTTTTAAGTCCTCATTTTCTTAGACTTTTGTGCAGTGTCTGTTCCCATCCCCACTCTCCTCCCTTGGTTTCAGAGACACTACCCTCTCCTAGTTCTCCTTGCCTTTGAATCGCCCACTCATTCAACAAGCATTGTTAAGTACTTCCTCCTTCTATGTACTGTGCTGGTGCTGGACATATAAAGGCAAAAATGAAATAGTCCCTTGCCTTTGCAGAGCTTGTAGTCAACATTCAACTATTTCTCTACCTTCCTCCTGATCCCTCCATGTGAGTTTTCCTTGGCTGTTTTCTGTCCTCCCCATGCTCTCCCTTGGCTAGCTCATTCACTCAGGCAACTTACATCTGCCCTCTTTGTATACTGACATTGTTACCCACCCCCTTCTTTCCTTAGGCTACACATTACAAACTGATATTAGGACAGCACTTTAATCTGAAGTCCTTGATCAAATCTGAATGAGAAACCCTGATCAGTCTTTCCCTAACTATCCATTCCAAAACAATGCACCACACTAAATCCCATGCCCCTCTTACCAAGACTCAACCCATTTCTAAAGGGAAACTACATTAAAATTCAGAATGGAATTCTGTTCTCCCTGAAGATAAGGTTGAAGACTACAGAAGGACTGGGGGAGCCCTTGAGTGATGCATTTGAGAGCGTCATGCTCCCTGCTCTGTCCTTGCTAGTATAATGATCAGACAACATCAATACTTTCTTCACCCTCATATCCACTTGGTCAGCAACTACGTTCTATTGTGCTAGTTGAGGATGGTTATTTGTGTTTATTTCTTGTTTGCCTGCTAGTCTGTGAGCTCCTGAATAGGTCTGCTTGTTGAATGAATGAATGAATGGTGATTATGCTAGGCTATGACAAGCTATTAAAGCTTACACTTGCAATAAGATTTTTAGGACATCCTGCATATCAGGATCATATTTCTAATCCCCTGGGAAGACCAGACAGGCTCAGAGCTGTAGCCCCAGGAGAAGAAATGAGCCACTCTGCTCTATCAAAACACTCTTACTTGGTCTCAACTTCACCTGCTTTTGCATGACCATGGGACAGGCATAAGGGTAGGACTGTCCAGGGATAGGAACCAATTTTGGGTCAAGCTTCACAGTTTCTGCTAGGAATCAGGACTCAGTCTGTTATGGGGATCAAGGCTCAGTCTGGGACCAGGGTCAAAGTTCAGAATGTGACCAAGATTAGGACCAAGGCTGTGATTGGGATCTGGGCTCAGTCTATGACCAAGGGTCAGGGCTCAGTCTGGGGCCATGGTGGAGTGTTTAATCTGGGACTAGGGTCAGGGCTCAGTCTGGGACTAAGGTTAGGATGCAGAATACCTAGCATCATTACTAGCACAATTTTCTAAGCCTTCAGTGTGGACAGTACCTCAAAGGTGCCTCTACTAACCTATCCATCTGACAGTTACTCTGATGGCTGAAGGCACATTTCATGAGGGAGTCCAAGGTCATTAGGCTGACATGCTCAGAGATCTCCAGACTCAAAGGCTGGTAACTGAGCTTCTCCCATTTGTCCTAAAATAGAAAAAGAATGATAATCCCAATCAAAGACCCCTCTTCCAGGAAGCCTTCAGTGCTAAGGAAATAAGGCTGGCTAAATATTACCCAAATGCCCAAAAGGGAAAAAACTGAATAGAGGGCTAATTACAGAGGACAGAAAGTTGAATTTGGAGTCAGGGAAACCTAGCTTCTGATCCCTACCTGTGATACCTCATCAGTGTGTCACCTAGGCAAGCCAGTCCCTTCACCTCCCTGAAACTCCATTTCTTCTTCTATATCATGAGGTATAGTGGCCCCCACCTCACAGGATTGTTGTGCAGATCAAATGAGACCCTATGGGTGAAACATTAACTTATAAGAGCCCCAGAAATGTCAGTGAGTCTTACTCTATTAGACTTCAGGCTCATGAGCTCAATTGTAACCCTTCAGATCAAGTCACAGAGACTGAGCTGAGTGGGATCACACAAGCTGGCTGGCCCAAACCATGAGGAAGATTCTAGAGCAAGTCCCCTCTACAATATTGCTGATTAGCAGTTATGCAGCCTCTGCTTGGAAACCTCCATTGAGGGGGACTCCTGTGACAATCTTCTCTATTTTGGGACAGTTTTGATTATGAGAAATTTCTTCCTGACATCCAAATTAAATCTGCTTCTTCGCAGATTCCCCTCATTGACCTTGATTCTTCTCTCTGGAGCCAAGTGGAACAAGGCTTATCTTTATTCCACCTAACAACCTTCTAGATACTTGAAGGCAGTTCTCCTGACCCCCACCCTAAGTCTTCTCCTCTCCAGGTTCAGCATTGAGCTCCTTCAACTGATCCTTCTGACATAGCTTCCAGATTCCTCACCACTCTGGCTGCTGTCCTCTTGGCCACTCTTCAGCTCTTCAATGTCCTCCCCAAAATGTGATGTCTAGAACTGAACACTATATCCCTGACATATTCTGACACAGAAAGAGGATGATCAGGTTATGACCTATCGATTTATATTGAACCTTCTATCCATTGAGACAATATTTGTACAAGCTCTTATCACAATGCCTGGCACATAGTGTTCGGTGTCTTTCATTCTTGAAGAGAACCGAAGTAACATCAATATGTTGGAGTCAAGGTACAGTGTGTCTGACTGGGGCTGATCAGAACAATACGAGCTTGGAATGCTCTACCACAGGTTGGGCACTTGAACATTTGCAGTGAAGATATGTCTCTAAATTTGCACATCTCACATTGCTTTTGAGCTGCTGCAACTCTGTTTCCATCATAGAGCACAGCACCTTCTTTGATGCAGGTATACCAAGCTTAGAGGTCCTTTGCCAGTGTCTCCTATGTCACGCACTCAATTTCAAAGTTCTTCAGAGAGATCTTAAGAATGTCCCTGTATCACTTCTGATTTCCATGTGAGTGCTTGTCTTGTGAGAGTTCTCCATAAAATAGTCTTAAGTAAATGTATGTTTGGCATTTGAACAATGTGGCCAGCCCATCGGAGTCATGCTGTCTGCAGCAGTTTCAATGCTTGGCAGTTCAGCTTGAGAAAGGACCTCAGTGTCTGGTACCTTATCTTGCCAAGTGATCTTCAGAATCTTCCTAAGACAATTCAAATGGAAACAATTCCATTTCCTGGCACTGGTAGACTGTCCAGATTTCACAGGCATACAACAATGAGTTCAGCACAATGGCTGTGTAGACCTTCAGTTTGGTAGGCAGCCTAATACCTCTTCTCTCTCACAGTTTCCTTCAGAGCCTCCCAAACACTGAGCTAGTTCTGGCAATTCATGTGAAGATATCATCATCTATGTGTACATCCCTGGAAAGTATACTGACAAAGTAATTGAACTTATCCACGACATTCAATATTTCTCCATTTACTGTAACTGACAATCCCATGTAAAGATTGTGTGGGGCTGGCTAGTGGAGAACCTGTGTTTTCTTGATGTTATTTGTTGGGCCAAAATTAGCACAAGCAGTAGAGAATCTATCCATACCTTGTTGCATCTTGGCCTCAGAGGCTGCGTTGAGTGCACAATTATCTGAGAACAAAAAGTCATGCACCAACTCTTCCTCCATGTTAGTCTTAGCTTGTAGCCTTTTCAAGTTAAATCATTTACCATCAGTGTGGTAGATAACCTTAATGCTGTTTTCATCCTCATTGAAGGCATCTGACAGCATTGCTGAAAACATCATGCTAAAAAGCATGAGAGCAAGCACACAGCCCTGCTTCACTCCACTGGTGACTGGGAAAGCATCATCCATAATCCAGAACCCATGCAAGCATGCCATCATGAAACTAGTGTACAATACTGATGAACTTCTCTGGGCAACCAAATTTCACTGTGATCTTCCACAAGCCTTCATGACTGACAGTATCAAATACTTTGGTCAAATCAACGAACATTGTGTCCAGTGTCTAATATGTACTTTTTCTGGCATTTCTTCTGGAGTTGCCAGGCTCTGTATCAACATTCCTCAGCCCTTTCTGAAGCCATATTGGCTCTCAGGTAGATCATTTTCCAGGTGAAGGATCAGTATTAAGGAGGACTATGGCAAGACGGACAAAAGAGGCATCCTTGAACTTCTGGGGGATAATCTTCTCTTGCCGTATAAGCCAGAAAATTTCAGTCAGCTTTATCTGAGCGGTGGACCCTCCGCCTCATAAATCTCCCCCTTGCTTTTAGGAGAAAATGCCATCTTCTCGGTTTAGCACTTAAACCCTTCACAATCTGGAGCCCCACCATCTTTCCAAGCTGATTGGGCGATGCTCCCCATCCTGGTCTCTACACTGTTGCCAAACCAATTTACTTGATTCTCTTTGTATATGACGTTCCATCTCCCACCTCCACACAGGAAATCTCCCATCCCTGGAATGCCCTACCCCTCAATGCCACCAAATATGAGGAGATCATCTCCCTGCTATGAAGGTTGCCTGTGGGAAAAAACTTGAAACTTAGAACAGAACAAGAGACCCAGGAAGCCCAGACACCCTCCCTGTGAGGAGTCTGTCTCTCTGTGTCCATAAAAATGTGTATCTGTTCCTAAGATTTTGTCCACATCTTGTCTCTGTGTGTCAGTGTATGAGTACATGTGTGTGTGTGCTCATGAGCACACGTGTGTCTGTGTATATTATATTGCTTGCAATTTGTCAACTAAATTGTGGATAGAGTGGTGGGCTTGGGGTCAGGAAGACTTGAGTTCAAATCCAGCCTTGGACCGTCACTAGCTGTGAGACCCTGGACAAGTCATGTAACCTCTGTTTGCCTTGGTTTCCTCATCCATAAAATAGGAATAACAATAGCACTTATCTTCCAGTGTTGTTGTGACGATCAAAATGAGATATTTACAAAGTGCTTTGCAAATGCAAAGAATGATGTAAATTTAAGAATGATATAAATGCTAGCTATTATTATGCGTGTCCACAAATCTGTGTGGATATACATCTGTGTGTACTTGTGTGTGTGTGTGTAAGTTTGAGTGCACAGTGGCGTGTAAATGTAGGCACATGCATGCATAGTGTGAGTTAACATATGTGTCTGGGTATGTACCCATGGATGAGGCTTACCAGCATCACTCGGGCAGAGTCAGCCATCAGCCCCACATAAGGCTTCAGGATGTCACTGTGGAAGGCAGGGGTCAGCAGCCGCCGGTGCCGGAACCAGTCTGACCCATTAAGGACCAGCAGCCCTTTCCCTGAGCCCCAGTAGATAGACAGAGTTAGGAGTACAGGAAGGTGCACAGAAGGCCCAGACCTGGGTCCATGGGATAAGAAGCCTGTCTGATGGGTCTTTTGCTGGGCCAAGTTTCAGGGAGGTGGTTGCACAGTTAGACAGCAGCTATTATTTACCCTAGCCTTGGACATGTGAAACCAAGAGAAAGTTGTCTAAGGCAGTCTCGTGCCCCCTGTCTACACTAAAGAGGGAAACCATCCATGCCCATAGGGGGTTCTATATCCCTGGGTAAATAGGGGTCCTAGGTCACAGAAGGACTGAGTAAGAGTGCACCTGGTGCCTCAAAACCTATACCCTTACAGGAACTCAGAGATCAGCCTTAGCTACCTGGGAGTACCAGCCTCATTTCCTGGCAGAATGGCACATTTACCCATCAGCCTATGTGTGGGAAGCTGTGAGCCTCCCCATTGTGCCAGGCATCCTACATTCCTTCATTCAGCCTGCATTTTCTGAGTTTCTAAGGGCCTAAGCTGAGGTGAGAAAGACATACCAATCCAGGGGATAAGGAATTTGTAGACATCATGAGATTTTGGATCTGAAATGAGAGCCAGGAAAAATCAGTTACCAAAGGGAGCAGAGAGATTTCCCAAACCCATCAGCCTGCATCCTACACACACACACACACACACACACACATACTCACACATACAAACTAACATGTACACACTCATATTCACACAAACATATAACACATACTCACACATACCACATACCCATGTACCCCACACACACATATACATATCACAGACTCACACCCTTACACACACCACATACACACACTCACACATACACATATCACATACACACCACATACCCACACACTCATACACACATAACACACTCACATACATACACATATCACACATAGCACATACCCATGCACTCACACCCTCACAGACATACCACATACACACACTTACACACAAGCACATATCATACACATCATACACATACTTACACATATAACACACATGTACATATAACACACTCATACCCTCACACACATACACATATCATACATATACCACATACATACACACACTCACACTCACACAAACATACATATACAATACACGCACTGCATACCCACACACTCACAAACATACACCACATACCCACATATTCACGCACATGCACATATCACACACACACCACACATACTCATACTCATACACACACTCACACACTCCACATATCCACACACATTCATATTCACACACACACACACTCACACATATACACACGAGAGTTTCCAGTGGCAGATGAGGTTTCATCAGGACGACAAAGCTATATTTAATGGGAAGACCTGAAGGAACACAAAGGTGGTCAGAGCTAGTACAACCCTTAATTTGACAGAGAAGGAAACTGAGACCCAGAGCAAGGAAGGGACTTGACCCAGATTAACCAACCGGTCAGAAGCAGAATGAGGAGGCAGCCCCACTTGGAGGGATCATGCCCCCAACCTCCCTCAGCTCTGGACCTGCCTCTCCCAGGCTTGTTGACTGAGCCCAGAGATAAATCACCCTCAGGGTATATACTGAGGCAGTCTGCTGACGTCCCCTCATCCCTCCCTCAGCATTGATCTGGGCCCTGCCCATGAGGAGAAAGTTGCTTCATGTACATCTGTGGGACTAGGCGGTTCTGAGATGCCAGACCCATGCTCCTTGCCACCCTTCTCAGCCATCTCTTCAGGGACACCCATAGGGAAGCCTGGTGAAGACGACAAGGGAGTGGGAGGACAGAAGAAAAGCCTGCTGGCGGGGGGGGGGGGCGGAGCGGGGGGAGGGAAGGCGGCCATCCCTGTGATATAGAGAAGACCTGGGCCCCTGAGCCCCTTGGCCTTGCACACACAGGCCAGCTCTAGAGAGACAACCACAGGGCAGCTCAAGGTCATTGATCTTTGGGCTGGAAGGGACCTTGCCTGATCATCTCATACAGCCTCCTGCTTTCAGGAAGGAAAGGCATGACTATCCCCATTTTATAGATCAGGCCACTCAGGCCCAGAATCACCCACTGGGAGAGTTGGAAGGAACATCGCTGACCTTCTGGTCCAACCCATAGGCAAAAGGAACCTCACAACAATGTACCAATATCTGTTGACTTTGTAACCTCAGCAAGTCCCTTACACTCTCTGAGACCCCATTTCTTCCTCTATGCAAAAGGGATAACAGTCATGGCCCCTAACCCCATGAGATTATTGTGAAGATCAACTAAGACCCTCTGGGTGGTGCATTAACCTGTAAGAGCCCTAGAAAGGTCAGTGAGTCCATTCCATTAGACACCAGGTTGGTGAGCACAACAGTAGTCCTTCAGGTCAAGGCCTAGTCTGAGCTGGAAGGGATCCCCAACTTGTCTGATCCAAACCATGGGGAGGACTCCATAGGGAGGCCCCCTTCCCATATCTCTGATGGGCATGGTCCAGTCTCTGCTTGGACACCTCCAGCATGTGGGGGGTGGGGGTGGGACCCAGTCCCATCAGCCCCTGAGGAAGCCCTCTTCTCTCTGGGCAGCATTAATTTGGGAGGTGTTCTTCTCACTGTCAAGACTTAATCTTCCTCTTTGTAGCTTACCCTCTTTACCCCCGAGCCAAGCAGAGCAAGGCCGATTGCTCATCTCCATGACAACCGTCCAAATGCTGGAAGACCACTAGCATGTCTCCTCCCCACTCTCCACTCCCTCCAGCACCATCTTCTCTGCTCTAGCCCCCCAAGCATCCCTAAGCACCATCAGCTTATTCCCATATGACATGGACTCACATCCCTTCGCCAGCCTGATTTCTTTCTCCAGCTGGGCAACGTTCTTCCTAGACCATAGTGCCCAGAACTGGCCAAAGTCCTCCAGATGGGACCAGATGACGACAAAGGGCAGGGTCCTGGTCCTGGAAGTTCTTCCCATCTTAATGTGGCCCAAGATCTCATTAGCTGTTTTGGCAGCTACCTCACACTATCGACACATAATAAGCTTGTGGTCCCCTAAAAATCCCAGATCTTTTTCTGATAAGCCAGACTGTGATTCATAAACTTCCAGTGACCCCAAAAGCACCTGCTCTGGGCTGTCAGATGCATATCAGTTTCTGAATAGCCACAATGTGCCTAGTGACCCACTGCCATAGCTCTGCCCCTGCACCCTCAGGAGGGCTTCAGGGCCTCCTGTCTCCAGGACACACGCTCACTGGCAGTTAGCACACAACTCAGGACAGACTGGCTTGGGATAACAAAAGTCAAGAAACCTGGGCTGGACCCCAGGGTCTGCCCATAGCTGTGTGACCTTAGCAAACCCCTTCTTTCTGGCCTGTCTCCTTCTCTGTAAAATGAGATGGCTCAGACTTCAGTGGACCAATGGATAGAGCACTAAGCATAGAGTCAGGAAGGTATGAGTTCAAATCTGGCTTCAGACACTTCCTATGTGACCGTGGGCAAGTCACGGTTTCCTCATTTGTAAAATGGGTGCAATAAGGGCACCTACCTCCCAGGGTTGTGAAGATCCAATGAAATAACATATGTTAAGCGCTTCGAAAGCCTTATATAAATGTTTACTATTGTTGTTGTTAGATGGTATCTAGACTCCCTTCTGATTCTAAATTCTGTGTTCCTAGTAATATTGGTCTGAGCTTCATAACATGAGGGAAATAAATCAGTTGAGAAAAACAGAGCTTTAAAACATCAGGCCAAAGGCCAACACTGCCAGAAGGCCCCCTCCTCCTGCCTCTGTCCCCGGGAGCCAGTTGTATGGGAGGCCCTGACCTGAAGCAAGGCTGGTAAACATGCCAGCACCAGCTCCTCCAGTACCAAATCCAGGCATCTCCCTAGATGCCCTGACTGCTCAGCTCCACAACACTGGGGTGCTGAGCTATTGGGCATAGCATCTATCTCAATCCCTGACTGACACGGCAAGTTTTAGAAGGATAGGCCCGATCGCTCTCCAGCCTTTCCTTTGGACACCTTGAGCCACCCTGTTGTAGACTTGCAGACTTGTAGATTTTTTTGTGACATCATTGACACACTGGCTGGTCTGGCTGTTGGCTGCCCTACTGGATAAATCTTTGGCCAAATAGCTGACTGATGACTGGTTAAATCCTGAGGGCTAGTTCATTGACTGAAGGGGAGAAGTTCAATAAGGGGAGGGACCACCTTCCAGCCCCAAACCCACGGAGGGCTGTTCTTACCTCTCTTGCTCAATATCAGCTTCATGTATTCAGGGTCATAGACTTGGAGAAGATTCCAGGAGCCCGTCAACCACCGCGGAAAGGCACACGGGAATTTCTCTGCCAAAGAAGCCATTTTGGGTAGCTCTTCTTCCACTGGAAACTGAAACCAGGAAACAAACAAGCAAACAGAGAAAGGAGGTCAGGCCTGAAGGAGTCTGAAGAGTAGAGGGGTATGTGTGAGGCGGGGGTCAGGCTCCAAGCTCAGGACTCTTTTGGAACAGACACTGAGCAGAGAGGGAGACCTTGACCCATGCTTGCATCTAGCCGCAGCATTCTGCTACAGCATTTTAGATTCTTCATATTTGTCTCTGGCCCTGAAAGAAACATGCACTCTTCAACAAGGGAAGTGCCCAAAACAGCGGCTCAGAGACATGGAACATTTGTGCCAAAATTGACTTCAGACCTCATCTAGTAGGACACCAAGATCTAAGGTCATACAGTGGCAAAGCTAGGCTAGGTCCCAGCTCCCTAAAGGGGTGGAGGTAAGAGGAGAGGTAGGAGAGAGGAGGAGAAGAGGGAGGGAGGAAAGGAGGGGGAGGGAAGGAGGGGGAGAGAACTGAGCTATTTAAATAAGTCATTGAAAATCAAAAATGTAAATCTAAAAATGGGAAATGGACAACAAAATGACATCAACGCTAACTATAATAATTTCATATGGAAGCTGACCCAGCATGAGCCATCAGTATGGTCTGGTAGCCAAAAGTGCTAGTGTGGTTTTCAGTTCCGTTAGGAAGGGCATAGCTTTCAGAAATGAGGACAATAACAAAATACCATTCCATTCCCCTGTCAGACCTCATCTGAAGTATTGTGATCAGCTCTAGTTCCTCTTGTCTCAATATATTCTTAAGCCTCCTCAGTCTTTCTCACCATTCCACCAAAACTGCTCTCTCTCCGAAGTTACCAGTGGTTTCTTTGTTGCCAGATCCAATGATCTTTTCTCAATTCTCATCCTTCTTGCCTCTCTGAAGCTTTCGACACTGTTGATCACTCTCTCCTCCTTGAGATTCTCTTCTCTCCAGGTTTTCAGGACACCCTTCTCTCCTGGTTCTCCTCCTACCTCTCTAACCACTCCTCCTCTGTCTCCTTGGCTGGATCTTCATCCAGATCACATCCTCTAACCATAGGTGTCCCTCAGGGTTCTGTCTTAGCTCCTTTCCAACCTCCTTCCCCTCTGTTCGGGACCCTACCACCTCTCCAGACTTCTTGGACTCTATTTCTCTCCACGAATTTCAAGACGCCGCCATATTCAACTACTTGCTGTTTCTCATACCCCAAACTCCCTCCCCTGTTTCCATGTCTTTGCCATGGCTGTCCCCCATACCTGGAATGGAATGCCCTCCCTCTTCATCTTTGCTCTAGATTCCCTCTCTTCCTTCAAGACTCAGCTCTCATCATGCCTTCTATCATCCTCCAGATGCTGGTACCTTTCCCTCTGAGATGACTTCCATTTGCTCTGTTTACATTTTGTACACGTTATCTCCTCCACTAGATTGTGAGCTCCTTGAGGTCATGGACTATTTGGAGAGGAATAATGTTTGTTCAATAACTCTACCTCCCTTGGATTCTGTGTGGGAGAATGTACCCCAAAGATATGGGAGGAGGGAGAGAGACCATGGGTGCCATTGCCTGAACCTAGTTTCCTCTCGGTCTTCATTGGGCAATGTGTCACCTATGGAATCGGACCGCTGAGGGCTCAAGTACACTGTCAAGCCTAACACAGGCTCCCCTTTAGGGCCAAGAAGCCCAAGCCATCTTGTGGCTCCCCCATCATTCTGAGCTGGCGTTGTTAGAGTCCTGCTGGTGAACTTAGAGATACTTCAGAGAATTGACGTATGTCATGTGGAAGAAGGATCAGGTTTGTTCTGTGTGGCTATGTAGAGCCGTCCTAGAGAGCTGAGGAGGGGGAGTTACAGAAATGAATGTTCTCTGAAAATTGTGTAGTTAACTTCCCCATCCCTGGAAGAATTTAAGCAGGGGGCGATTAGTTACTGGGCACAGGTGCTATGTACACAGCTCAATCATGTTTCATATAGAGATTGGATTAAATGACATTCAACTGTCCTATTGGACTACAAGAAATATGAAGGAGATGGTCTCAGAAAAACCTGGGAAGGTTTATATGAACTAATGCAAAGCAGAGTGAGCAGAAATGGGAAAACAATGGGTGTAACAGCAACAACATTGTAAATGCAACTAGCTTTGAAAGTCTGAGGAACTCTTGTCAGCACAATGACCAAGCAAAATTCCAGAGGACCCATGATGAGACATCCTACTCACCTTCTGATGGAGGAGTGATAGACTCAGGGTTTCTGTGATTGAAACTTTTTTGTATGTGGCCAATACAGGAATTTTTTTTCTTGGCTATGCATGTTTATAACAGAGATTTTGTTTTTCTTTCTTTCTCAAGAAAAAGAAGAGGGAGGGGCAGCTAGGTGGTACAGTGGATAGAGCACCAGCCCTGAAGTCAGGAGGACCTGAGTTCAAATACGGCCTCAGACCAAACACTTGACACTTACTAGCCATGTGACCCTGGGCAAGTCATTTAACCCCAATTGCCTTAAAAAAGAAAAAAAGAGAGAAAAACTTAAGAAAAGAGAGCAGGAAAGAAAGGTAGAGGGGAGAGAGGGCAGATCTTTGTTTCAAAAAAAATAATAATTTTAGAAAATGATGACTTCCAACTCTGAAATTCTATGATTTTAAGGGGCTGGGTTAGAAACTCAACTCTCAACGGTCTCCTCTGTAAAATGGAAATAGTCATTCCTGCCCCGACGTGGTTTGGGCATCCTCATGCTCATGAAATGAGATGCCATCTGCAACTTCTTGTTGTTCAGTCATTTCAGTCATGTCTGACTCTCTGTGACCCCATTTCGTGTTTTCTTGGCAAAGATACTGGAGTGGTTTGCCATTTCCTCCTCTAGCTCATTTTACAGATGAGGAAACTGGGGCAAACAGGGTGAAGTGACTTGCCCAGGGTCACACAGCTAATACGTGTCTGAAGCTGGATTTAAACCCAAGAAGATAAGTCTGACTCCATGCCAGGTACTCTATCCACTGTGCCACCTAGCTGCCCCACCGTCTGCAACAGGGCTTTGTAAACCAAGAAGTTCAAGCATGATATAAGTTTGAGACATTTGTAGCAGGATCCTCTTTGGATGCAGTTCAGAGACTGGACAATTAGTCTCTTAAAATCCCTCTGGGGGCAGCTAGGTGGCGCAGTGGATAGAGTACTGGCTCTGAAGTCAGGAGGACCTGAGTTCAAATCCAGCCTCAGACCAACCACTTAACACTTACTAGCCGTGTGACCCTGGGCAAGTCACTTAACCCCAATTGCTTAAAAAAAAATCCCTCTGAAAGCTAGTGTGACTTTATAGTTAGAGAGCTGGTCTTACAGACAGGAATACCTGGGTTTCAGTCCTTATACCACATCCTAGATGACTGACCCTGGAGAACTCCTTTAATTTCTCAAGGCCCCATGCAATTTTTTTCTTTTTTTAAAAATTAATTTAGTATTTTATTTTTCCCCAGTTACAAGTAAAAACAATTTTTAACATTTTTTTTAATTTTGGGTTCCATATTCTCTTCTTCCCTCCCTACCCCCACTCATTGAGAAGGCAAGCAATTTGATATAAGTTATACATGTGTAGGCATGCAAAACATTTCCATATTGGTCACACTATGAAAGAAAACATAGACAAAAAAAAATCTCGGGGGCAGCTAGGTGGCGCAGTGGATAGAGCACCGGCCCTGAAGTCAAAAGGACCTGAGTTCAAATCCGGCCTCAGACCAAACACTTGACACACTCACTAGTTGTGTGACCTTGGGCAAGTCACTTAACCCCAATTGCCTGGAAAAAAAAACTCAAGAAAAATAAAGCAAGTTTTAAAAAAAAGGAATCCTTCAATTTGTATTCAGACACCATCAGTTCTTTCTCTGTGGATAGATGGTATTTTTCATTATAAGTCCTTCAGAGTTGTCTTGGATCATTGCATTGCTGAGAATAGCTAAGTTATCCACAGCTGATCATCATACAATATTGCTGTTACTTTGTACACAGTACATTTCACTTTGCATAAGCTCATGCAAGTCTTTCCAAGTTTTTCTGAGAGCACCTTGCTCATCATTTCTTATAGCGCAATAGTATTCCATCTTAATCACATACCCACAATTTGTTCAGCCATTCCTCAATTGATGGGCATCCACTCAATTTCCAATTCTTTGCCATCAGAAAAGAGCTGCTATAAATATTTTTGTGCATATTAGGTCCCTTTCCTTTTTTTATCTCTTTTGGGATATAGACCAGTGGTATTGCTAAGTCAAAGGGTATACGTGGTTTTATAGGCCTTTGGGCATAGTTCCAAATTGCTCTACAGAATGGTTGAATCAGTTCACAACTCTACCAACAGTGCATTAATGTTTCATTTTTCCCACATCCCCTCCAATATTTGTCATTTTCTTCTTCTTCCTAGTTAATCTAATAGGTGTGAGGTAGTACCTCTGAATTATTTCAATTTGCATTTTTCTAATCATTCATGAGTTAGAGCATTTTTTCATATAGCTATAGATAGCTTTGGTTATTTCATCTGAAAACTGTTCCCATCTTTTGATCACTTATCAGTTGGAGAATGGCTCTTACTTTTATAAATTTGGCTCAATTCTCTATATGTTTGAGAAATAAGACCTTTATCAGAGAAACTTAGTTCAAATTTTTTTTCACAGTTACTGTTGCTAACCGTATTTATCTCTACCGTATTTTCTCCACCTTGTTTATTCTATTCTCTCTCTCTTTTACACCCTGTCCCTCCTCTAAAGCATTTTGCTTCTGACTACCCTCAATCCACTCTCCCTTCTATCACCCCTCCTTTTGTCTCCTTCCCCTCCTACTTTCCTGTAGGGTAAGATATCCCATTGGACATATGTCCCACTTTGAGCCAACTCTGATGAGAGTAAGGTTCACTCCTCCTCATCTCCCCTCTTCTCCCTCCATTGTAAAAGCTTTGTCTTGCCTCTTATATGTGAGATAATTTATCCTATTCTACCTCTCCCTTTCCCTTTTTCCTAATACATTCCTCTCTCACTGCCTAATTGTATTTTTTAGATATCATCCCTTCCTATTCAACTCACACCTACGCCCTCTGTCTCTTTATCCTCCTTACAACTGCCCTAATAATGAGAAAGTTCTTATGAGTTACAAGTATCATCTTCCTGTGTAGGAATGTCAACAGTTTCACCTTATTAAGTCCCTTGTGATTTCTCTTTCCTGTTTACCTTTTTATGCTTCTTTTGAGTCTTGTATTTGAAAGTCAAATTTTCTATTCAGCTCTAGTCTTTTCATCAAGAATGCTTGAAAGTCCTCTATTTCATTGAATATGTATTTTTCTCCTGAAGCATTATGCTAAGTTTTGCTGGGTAGGTGATTCTTAGTTGTAATTCTAACTCTTTTGCTTCAGGTCACTTAAGAGCACTTCACTGGGAATCAGGGCATCTGGATTCTAATCCTACTTCTGTCTGTAGAGAGTTACATGATTTGAGAAAGTCATCTTAACTTCCAATGCCCAGCATGGCACCTGCTTAAAAAATGCTCTTTGACTGACTCACTCACTCACAGACATGGTCCTTGTTACCCTCCTCTGTCAAAGTGAGAAGTTGGGCTATCAGGGATGGGCCTCAAGGCCACACATGGCCCTCTAGATCCTCAAGTGTGGCCCTTTGACTGACTCCAAAGTTCACAGAACAAATCCACTTGATAAAAGGATTTGTTCTGTAAAACTTGGACTAAGTCAAAAGGCCACACCTGAGGACCTAGAACGGCCTTGAGGCTAAAGGTTCCCCACATAAATACTAAAGTCACATATCTGGAGCTGAAAGTGACTGTGCAGTCCAGGCCCCTCCCTTGCCAGGCTCTCAAGTGTAGGATTTTAGCCTTATCTACCATTTTTCTGGTGGAGGCTTGATGACCATGGTCAGAGGGGCTCTGGGGGACATCCCTGCTGAAGCCTTAGCTGGACTTGCTACCTCTGAAGGCCTCCCACCTCAGACCCTATGACTGAGACTTCAAGGAAGCTTTTCAGAGTACTGGTCCAAGCAGCCATGCCTCCTCGGGACCCTTCATTGATAAGCAGATGGACAGCTACTTCACACCCAATCACAGCCGCACTCTCCTCCCAGCACCTCACCTACCTCCAAGGTGTTCCCGTAGAGCCAGTGGGAAGGAGGGCCTGGGAAATTCTGGAAATCTCCAAGCAGCCTCTGCCTGCGCACATACATCTGGGCCACCTTCAGCACCAGCAGGCCCAAGCCCAGCAGGAAGGACACTTGGAGAAGCCCAGATACATTGCCCTGGAACCAGGCAAAGGAGAGCGGAGAATTCATGATGCCACTACCCCAATCACTCTCTGCCAGAAGTAGCACATCCTTCTCTTTTCCTCCCTCTGACCTTTATACCAGGACCTTTGTAATCTCTGTCAGCAGACTTGGCCCTAATCCCAGACCAGAGCTCACCACCTCCACTCACATTTCGGGCACTGGGAAAATCAGGAAAACAGAAAAATCAGCGGGAATTTGGAGTCAGAGGGAGCACCAGGGTTACTGGCGGGTAGGGTGGAGGAGGGGGCATCACTGAGGGATAGTGCTAAGACTTATAGAAGCTTCACAAAACAATTAAATGGTCCACATGCACATGCAGAGAAGGGAGTATGTGAAGATTTCACTCAGAAGGGGAAAAGATCTGCCTCCTCACTGGAGAGACCCACAAATGCATGTGCAAAGGAAGGGCCAGCCTGGGAGTGGAGGAGCATAGAGGCTCAGATGAGAGCCAAACTGGTCCTACTCCTTTATTTTGCAGATGAGGAAACTGAGGCATACATACAAGTGACTTACCCAAGGTCACAAAGACAGTAAGGAGGAAATAGAATTTGAACACTACCTCTCAGAGAAAGGATTTGAATACAGGCCAGCGATCTTTCCATTGAGCCTTCTGGCCAGTAACAGGAATGGATAGGCTTTCCTTTCAGGATAGGAATCCTTTCTAAGGGCTCTCATTGACTGCAGTAATGGGCAAGGGTGCCCTCCAAAGACACTTGTCCGGGCAAATAGCAGCACCATGGAATGTGTGCAGCCTCCTGGACCTTTGCTGAGCTGATCTTGACTAAAATGTTCTAGGTTGAACTAAACAGCTAGCACTCACTAGTAGCGATCACTGTAAACTCTCTATAATTTGATGTCATCCTGTAATGCTAGGAGTCCAACATGCAATCACTGCGGTAAACAGCACCAATGCCCATAAAAGCATACAGGCAAAGAGAGACAGGATTGGACTTTTCCATTGTTCGACAGATGTCAATCCTGTGTCAGCCTGTCTTTGTCCATCATTTTTGTCGTTGTTTCTTGTTGTTGTTTTGGGTTTGGGGTTTTTGTTGTTTTGTTTTTTCTTTTTTTTCTTTTCTTTTCTTTTCTTTTTTTTTTTGGTTAGGCAATGGGGTTAAGTGACTTGCCCAGGGTCACACAACTAGCAAGTGTTACATGTCTGGGGTCACATTTGAACTCAAGTCCTCCTAAATCCAGGGCCGGTGCCACCTAGCTGCCCCACTTTGTCCTTCATTTTTGAAGAGGACCATGACATCAGGGAGGTAATGCCACGACATGCAAGTGAATTGGACTGAAGTGAGGGAGAGCTGTGCAAAGTCAGGCAGATGTGATGCAAGTTTCCCGTCGGATAAAACTCTTGATCCCCCCTGCAGTGGTCTCTGACTAATTTTTCTTCTGCTGCCTTGGAGAGTTAACTGAAGATTCTCTCCCAGTTTTGGGACCCGATGAAGAAATCCTGCCTACCTGAGCCTCACCCAAGCTTGGTATCAATCGATGACCCTGAGAACGTCTCTACCACATCTGGGTCTGATTAGGAATGCCCCCCTCCATCTGGCACTGATTACCTGTCCTCAACCAAGCCCATTCTTAGGGTATATAACTTTGCTATTCGAACCCCAACTTTGAGCATGTTCTTTGCCCAGCACATCTCCCTCAACTTCAAGCTGGTTGAGTTCCTTGCATCTAGAGATCTGCTCACCTCGGGTTTTGTGGGTTTCATTGACAGGATCCAGAGCTGCAATGGAGCAACGAGACCATTCAGTGACTCATTTTACCATTGTAGGAACTGAGGCTTAGAAAGAACCAAGAACACGTAAACTGTATCAGAGGCAGGATTGGAACCTCCTCTTCTCACTCCAAATCCAGCAAGTACTCTACCCCCTGCACCGCTCAGTCAGTCAACTAACATTTTTAAGCACCTCCTACATTCCAGACACCAGATATACAAAGTAAAAGACAGTCCCTGCCCTCAAGGAGTTCACAGTCTAACAAGAGAGACAGTTTGCAAACAACCATGTATAAACGAGGTATGGAGAGCATAAATTGGAAATAATCAACATTAACAATAATATCAGTAATAATAATAATAATCTAGCATTAGGGGTAATCAGGAAAGGCTTCTTGTAGGAAGTGGGATTTTAGCCTCACACTGCTGACTTACACTGACTCTGCCAGGCACTAAAACGCCCCACTCTTTCCCACATGAACATGATTCTACCATGTTATAGATGTCAAGGTAGGGGGCAGGAGACGAGACAGCTCCCTCTGCTAGATTCCAAGTGACTCTCACTAGACCTCAGAAAATGGACCATGCATCCCTGTAGAGTTGCTAGCTGCCCAGGGGTCCCCCAAGAGCTCTCCATTCCCTGCTTTGCCCGCTCTGGGGTCTCCCCTGCTAGCGTCCCCATCCTCCTCCTCTCTTTTCCGAATCGATCTCTCCTCTTCTTCCCTTAGCCCACAGCCACCCGTCCCCCACAGAAAGCCTTAGAACTGTGATCCGAGATTGAACTTTTATTACAGATAAAAGTATCTGAGGGTAAACAGAGGAAGATGGGGGATGCAGGACAGGTAGACAAAGGCTGAGCCTGGGCAGGGCTGGCTGGCTGGGTCACGGGTGGGGAAAGGGGAGGGGGAGGGGAGAAGGGGGAGTGAGGATAGGGTTGGGGGAGAAGGACCGCCATCTTCCTCCTTCAGGGTGGCATCCTCACAGCCTCTTCGGCTTCAGGTGGATCCCATTCTTGGACTTGAGGACGACCCTGCAGGAGAACTCTGGAGGCCGAGTGTCATCAGGTGCCAGGTGGAAGTGGAGCAAGGTCAGAGCCACGACCACCTTCATCTCAACCATGGCAAACTGCTGCCCGATGCAGTTCCAAAGGAGGCCAGGGGCCAAGGAGAAGAGAAACGGGGTGGGTTCAGCAGAGGTTCAGGCTTTGGGGATCTCCTAAAGCCTGCCTGCATCCCCAACCCATGCCCCCAGCCCTTTTTTCTTCCCGCTCTCTCTCCTTCACCACTGCCACACGCACCAGGTTCTCTCTAGACTCCATGTCTTTCTCAGGCCCCTCTTCTCTCCATGTGCACATATGTAAACACACACAGGTAAACATCACCCAGAAAAACCCACCTGGAACCAGCAGAAAAGGGAAGGAAGGCATGGGTGTGCCTGAAGGCAGAGTTCTCTGGGGAGAATCGGAGAGGATCAAACACCTGCCAACCAATGCCAACACCAGTGGGAGGCAGGACTGGGGAGAGCTGGGAGTGGGGAGGGGTCCAGGATGATTCTCCTCCCCTGCTCCACCTCCCTGCTAACTCCAAGCCCTTCTTCAGCCACCAAGCTTTGGGATCCTTTGGTCTTCTGAGATCCATACTGTACTTGGACCACCCTCTCTTTGGTTTTGATGCCAGCCTCTGCCAATCACCACACTGGACTAGCAACTTGTTCAATAAGCTGAGAGCCAGGCTCCCTGTCTCCCTACCCCATCCCCTACTCTCACCTTCCTGTGTTTCAACATTCATGTTGACCTCAGACATCGCGTCTCTCTGAACTACACCGTGACCAAAACTGTGAAGTCCAGATTCCTCTTCCCAGTTACAGCTACCTGTCCTGCCTCTCTCACCTCCATGCTAAGGCTACTCTTAACCCTCATGGTGACCTTAAGCCTCCTGGCCTGTGCCTGGTCCCATGGTCCACCTCCCCCCACCTCCGGAGTGGCTTTTCTCCACATCCAGCTTCGACCCCATGGTTTGCCTTTTCAATGCCTCATTAGAGCTACACTAGATGCTCTGCCCACTTGATTAGAATTCCTTCATTCCTAACCTGTAGGTCTTATGACTGGGTAGCCCCCCCAACACACACACCTTTTCTGCTCCTACTCCTGGGCTACTGAAGAAAACCATGAATTGGAGCTGATTTCACCAGTTACAATGCATGGCCCTCCCGCCTTTGATGCTCACTGGTCACACCACTTCTCTAGGCCTGTAAAATGAGGGGACTGGCTCCAGATTAGGACTCTGTGGTCCTCTCTGTTCCTGACAGTCCTTCTCTTCTCTCTATATTAATTCTTTCTTTCCTTCTCCTTAGTCATCAGTCACAACGTCTTCACTTCTTCCACCACCAAACCCAGCCTCAACCTCACACTTACGGCAGTTGGCCTAACCCACTTCTTAACTGACTCCCATCCTGGTCCTCCTCAGCCCACTATTTCTCCATTCCTCCAGCTTCCTCCACATTTGGAAGAGGCTTCAGTGCACATCAAACCCAGCTCCAGCCTAAATCCGCCCTCTTTGAAACTTTGCTCTCTGGCCTTGGTTCTGCCCCACCCCCAGTCCGGGCCAAACAAAACCAGTCTGAGGGCTCCTGTGCAGGCAACCCTCCAGGTCCTTGAGCACAGATAGCTCTCATGTGCTCCATGCCCCTTTTCCAGACTAAAAAAGCCCCGTTCCTTCAATGATCTTCCTATGATATGGCCTCGAGGCCCTCTCTTGTCCCAATTGCCTTCCTCTGAACACTCTCCAACTTAGCAATGACTTTTTTTTTTTGGAGATAATTAGAGTCAAGTGACTTCCCCAGGGTCACATAGCTAGTATCTGAAGTCAGATTTGCACTCAGATCCTCCAGACCCCAGGGCAGGTACTCTACCCAGTGCACCACCTAAGTGCCAGCACTGGCCTTTTTAAATGGTGATGCCCAGAACTGAGCACAGTGCTCCTTCCAGATGTGGTTTGAACAGCAGGACCCCCCCCCCAATTTCATTGTCTTTTTCATCGTCCCCCAGATGGGCTGCAGTTTCCTCTGTGGGTCATCCCCGAGCAGCTGCTTCTACCTGCCTCTCTCCCCATCAGTTCTAATGGATCCTCGAGCCCATTGCCGTTAGGGGGCAGACCACATGCTGGGATTGCGGTGAAGGGCATGTATGTTGATAGTGACAAAGGTTCCTGGAGAGGCAAAAAAAAAAAAAAGACACTGGAGAGACACACTGACTTATCCCCTCCCCCACAACAACTACAATCATAACTAGCATCTATATGGCACAGTAAGGTTAATAAAGTACTTTCCGCATTATCTCATTAGATCCTCACAGCAACCCTATTATCACTCCCATTTTACAGATGAGGAAGCTAGAGGCAAAAGTTAAGTGACTTGCTCAGGGTCTCACAGCTAGTAAAGTGGCTGTGGCAGAATTCAAACTCAGGTCTTCCTGCCTCCATGTCCAACACTTTAGACACTGTTCTAGCAGCCCATAGGTGCTATTGAGTGAATCCCACTGACTCCATCTTGTGACTCAATTCTAGACCCAGCTCAGTTCCCTTTCTATTCAATGAGGGGTCGAGTCCAATTTCTGTCTTGTGAGGAAACTTCATTCCATTGTGGGAATTGTGAAAAAAACTATCACATTGTTTGAACAGAACCCTACATGGGGAGAAGCTGGACCACCTCTACCTGCTACACAGAGACCCTTAACTAAGGACCTCAATTCTGCTGACCAGAAACCCAGTCAGATCTGAAGATAGATGCAAGGAGTTTTCTCACAATTACACAACCCTAGCAACCCATATGTCTTATCTGAAAACTGACCCTGTAGTGGTTAATCAGTTATTGTTTCTATGTTGTTTGGATTGAGTACAGACTGTTGAGGGGAGTGGGATGCCTCTTTTTTTCTGATTCAGGGCATTTTCCTCTTCCAACTTGAAAACTCCCTAACCCTTCCTCCAGTTAGAAACCAGATAACCTAATTTTGTATTCTGGTTAGTTGTTTCCTTTTAATTAATTGGTTTTATTTGATGAATTGTTTTTAATGAACAAAAATTTGTCTTCCCCTGTATTCTGGGTCCAGTGTCAAAGCTCAGGGGCCTGGTCCCAGTTTGTTGGGCAATTGGCATGCATTACTTGATAAATGGAAACCCAAACCTTTGTTTCCTCAATCATTTCAGATTCTGCCCACCACACGGGGTGACCATTCCCAGCCCCACTCCAATCAGTGGCTGTCTGGCCTCATTTTGGACCCTGATCCTGATCATTGATTACCCTTTCCCCACACTTCTCCCTTGCAGGGGACCCTTTACTAGAACCATAAGTGGCCACTGGAGGGAAGCAGCAAGTGGAAGCCAGGAAGACCTGAGTTCAAATTTGACTCCAGATACTAGCTGTGTGACCTTGTACCTCAGTTTCCTCATCTGTAAAATCAACACAATAATATCACCTACTTCCCAGGATAGCTGTAAGGAACAAATCATATAATATCTTTAAAGCACTTAGCACAGAGCCTGGCACCTAGTAAGTGCCAGTAAGGGCCTGCGCCCTTCCCTCCCCTGAAGAGTGCTCAGCAGGGGAACTTGATGGGACCTGGAAGATCCCGTAAGTCATGCATTGAAGGGTTTTCAGGACTGCTTTTTCAAAGGTTGTCAAATCCAATCTCCCAGCCACTCAAGAGGGCCCCACAAGCTCGTAGAATGAACAAGTGGGTGTCATTCATTACCTGCGGGTAAGGAGCAGCCCTGGGGAAAGGTGAGGGGCTTGCTGAGCTCCCTGGAGACTTCTGATACTGGAGGAGAGAGGCAGAGGGACTCCTTAATGCACATGGTGGTATATGGCATCTGACTCAGGTGCTCCCTGAAAGCACAAGGACGCCAAAGGATGAAGAGACTGCCAGGAGGGGGAGGATCAGACCCGGAATGGGACCTCTGGGGGACCAAGAGTTTTCTCCTCTGGAATACAAAGAAGGAGAAACAAAGCAGACCCCGATCCCACAGTCACTCACCAAGTGATGGACGTCCCATCTCCCAAGATGCCCCTGATCTCCTCCCGGCATTTCTGCTGGTGCTCAGGATTCGTGGCCAGGGCATAGAAAAGCCAGGAGATGCCACTGGCGGTGGTATCATGACCCTCCAACATGAACGTGTCCACCTCAGCCCTCAGCCACTTGTCCGACAAGCTGTCCCCATTCTCTGTCTGGGTGAAGAAAAGCCACTAACATCAGGGGCCAGCCACCCTTTCTCAAGAGTCTGCCATGTGCAGAAATTTGTGCCAAGGGAGAAATGAAGTTTAGAGAAGACCCAGGCCCTGCCCTCAGGAAGCCTACAGCCAACCCACTCAGGGGATAAGACTCAAATGCCCCTAACTCCAAACTCCAATGAAAAGTACCTTTAAAAGGTGCAAAGAAGATTACATGGACTGGCGCTTCAGGGAAGGTTTCTGGGAGGAGGTGGCACTCCATTTGGGTGTTCAAAGATGATATGTTTCTTTTTGTAACTCAAGTACCTGTCAGAGTCCCGGTATATAGTGGTCACTTATCGAATCAAAGCGGGAAAGAGGGGTAGTTTGAGGAATACAGATTGTGAGTTCTGTTTGAGATGTTAAATTTGAGATTGCTACAGGAAATCCAGTTCAAGATGCCCAAAAGACAGTTAGTGATACAAGGAAGAAGCTCAAGGGAAAAGCTAGAGCTAAATAAGATACAAATAAAAATAGAAAGAGATAAGAAAGATGGAGAATGAGAATAATTAATGACTGGCCTAAATGTTCCTCTGATAATCCATGAAATTTCAAGAAATCTATAAGAAGGCCTCGACCTCTTGGGTGAAATCACTAAGGAGGACTGATGGGAAGATATGGACCAGGGTCTCAAAGGGTGAGAGGACAGGGATGGGCTGCAATCAGAACCAACAGGAGTACACCAAGGTGGGATATCCTTCTATCAAAGCATGGGGGTGTCAAGATCAGCTCAGAGGATTTCCCTCTGTGACTAAATATGGTATGAGGAGCTCCTCATCATAATGAGTGGCAGCTCCTAAGAGAGCAGATAGCATCTAAGAAAAGATCAGATTTGAGAATGCTCCTATGGGCTACAGAGACCCTCCCTAGACACTCCAGCCCCACCACTTGAATAACCTCTCAAATTGGAATGACCGTGCCCACAGGACGACCCAGGTTCACTCTGGTCCCAGTGCCTCTCAGGACATCAACACAGGGAAGAGGGGGAAGCATCAAAAAAGAGAAGGATGGGAGAAGGGATGGGAAACTGCTTTCCTCCTGCCTAGGGACAACCACCAGGTCTGGCCAACTCTCACCTTGGCACAGAGCAGGATGTCCAGGAAATCCAAGTGTCGTTTCTTCAAGACTGCCTCCAAGCCTCCTTCCTGCTGAAGGTACTCCTTCCTCTTCCTAATCACCTTGTCTGCAGGAAAGTGGCTCGAGGTCAAGGGCCATAGAAACCAAGCTCCCTTGGGAAGTGGTACCAGTAGTGGTAGCAGTAGTCCAATGCCCATGGATTGTTGTGGTACACATAGACAACTCTCCCTGTGCTTCTTCCACGGTGAGGAAAGCACTGGACTTGAAGTCAAGAAGAACTAGGTTCCCATCCTGCCTTAGACACTTTCTAGCTGTGTGACCCTAGGCAAGTCACTTTACTCCTGTCTACCTCAGTTTCCCCATCTGTAAAATGAGAGGGTTGGATTCGATGACTTCCAGAGTCCCTTACACTTCTCAAGCTATAATCCTATGAACTTGCACTTCTATCTCCCCTCCACTGAGGAGGGTCAGGAGTGAGGTTGTGCATGTGTGCACGTACGTGTGTGTGTGTGTGTGTGTGTGCTTTTTTGAGAGAGATTATGCTTGAAATTAGCATTCTAAGTATTTTCTTTCTGATAATTCCTTCCCATTTACCCTATGAATATCATGCACATATATAATTGCATACATATTCCTTTTCCCCCCACCCATTACAATGAGAGCTCCATGACCGTGAGAACATTGTTTGCTTTTCTTTGTATCCCAAAGGCTTAGCACCATGTTTGGCATATAGTAGGAGCTTAATAAATGCTTGTTTACTTATTTTTATTAATGAATGTGAGTCAAGTGTGTCTGAGTGTATCAGCATGTGTAGGTGTTCATGAATGTATGTGTATGAGAGTGTACAAACGTAACCAGGGTATCAAATTCAGTTTCATGGAGAGTTCAGATGGTGGAGATATCCCCAAAGAGTGTCTGGAATCAAGCATCTTCTCTCTTTAAGTTGGGAGCTGGAAGACCAAGGTTCTATGTTCTCCCAGCCTTGGGCCCTCATGCAGGAACAGACCACCAACCAATCAGTCCCCAACAATGAGTAGAGTTGTATGCCACTGGACTTGAACTTCCGGTTACACAATTATGTGAGGCTGTATGTGTCCATCAATGAATCAATGAAAAAAGCATTCATTAAGCACTGACGATGTGCCATCAGGTATTGGGTTACAAGTGAGAATAGTTGTGTTTGAATGATACAATTTCAGAGCAGTATGGACCCTGGCCTTTCCTTCACCCTTGGCCAGGACCCAATCCAATACACAAATACACACATTCATAGACTTAACACATTGCAACAGCTTTACTTATCAGAGATTTCTTGCTGTTCATCGAAAACAAATCTCAAAGTAGATGTGACAGTTTGAATAGAGTCCTTCCCTTTGAGACAAAGGTCCTCTCTGTGAGATTTTTCATGCCCAGATGAACTAAGCCTCCTTTCTGTGACCCATCCTTCCACAAATCTTTTCTTGAGTCTACTGTATGCCCAGAAGACTGAGACCCTCCCACTGGGTATTCAACGCTGAGTGGGTCATAAGAGTAGCCGTTGCCTTCAGCCGCTTGTCCTGGAGAAAAGAAGGCTTGGGGAAGAAAAGGCACTGACCCCAACTATCTGAAAGGCTATGGTGTAGATTTCACTTGACCCTAGAATGTAGAACTGGGAATGGTGGGTGGACATCAGAGGGGTTCTGATCTCAGCTCATGATAAGCAATAGGCCAGCCTGGGAGCCTAGGACATCCCCATCAGGCAGAAGCTAGAGGAGGACTTCCCAGGGACACTGGAGAAGGGGCTTCTTCCACTGGGTGGTATCTTACCCCCTCTGAGATTCCCTCAATGCCCTGCTGAAAGAACAAATTACTTTTGATTGGCAGACAGCAGGCATGGGCCTGTACCTGTGTGCTCATGGGCCCAGCGAGCAGACTGGCAAGCCTGGTAGCCCTGAGGACTGCACCAGTAGATGAGGTCGTTGTGATAGAGGGCATACTGAATTCGAGCGACTATCAAGGCTCCCTGTTCCCACACGGCCTGGATGTAGTAGTTAGCATTTCTGCAGGGAAGAAGAGCACACGGTGGGTTAAGGACCCAGACCAGCCAGAATGGGGAAAGAGCCTTTTGCCTGGGAAGGGGAGCAACGACGGGGCTTGGGCCTGTAATGATCACATGAGGTAACTTATAAAGCTCTTTGCAAACCTAAAAGTGCCATATAAATGCTGGCCATTAGTGGCATTATCATTTCATTAGCACAGGGAACTCCTCGGTGTGCAAAGTCCCTCAACCGATGCAGGTCAGCACCTTGACTAAAACTTAGAATGGCCTGGGCCATCGAGAGGTGAACTGATGTGCCAGGATCACACGACCACTTCATGTTCAAGGCCAGGCTTGATCCCAGATCAAGGTCAGCTCTAGCGATTGTCCCACACTGCCTCATGACTGTGCAGGGATGAAAATCAACTCAAGAGGCATTTATCACGTGCCTATGATGTACCAGGTACTAGGGATATGTATAAAGATAACAAAAATGAACCAATCTTTGCCGTCAAGGAGTAGGGTGCAACTAGGGGGAGACAGCCTGAACAAAGAAAATTCAATCTAGACAAATGAATTTCCTCAGGGGGAGGGGCAGCCCTGGTCACTGGAAGTAGGGCTAGATGCAGCAGGCTAGGTAGGCTTCCCATAGGAGGCAGTGAGGGAGCTGAGCTTTAAAGGAAGAGACAGCAGTGACTGGGGTCAGATGAGCTGCTTGGAGAGTATGGACAATCTGGCCATCTCTCACCTCTCTGTCTGGCAGTTGCTCTCATGGCTAAAGGCACATTTCATGAGGGTGTCCAGAGCCATCAGGCTGACGTCCTCAAAGATCTCCAAGCTTGAGCTCTGGGCAATGAGCTTCTCCCATTTATTCTGGAGAAGAAGAAGGCAGCACAGGCTCTCAGCATGCATGGCTCTCCTGCTGCAGGCAAGTCAACCCTTTCCCATGTTCCCCATTCCAGGAGAATTGCAGATTCCACGCTTCACCTTGTTTCTGTAGTTTGCTGATACCATCCATCAGACTTGGAATGACTCCACTCCCTGCATCTTACCAAGCCACTTGCTTCCATCTAAGCCCAGCTCAGATGCCACAGCCTCCTCCAGAAGCCCTCCATCCCCACGGCAGAAAGTGATCATTCCCTCCTCAAGTTCCTCATAATTCTTTGTCTGGATTTTTTGGACTGCCTCTTGCATTTGCTCAGAGACACAAAGTTCCAGACCCTCAGAGCTGGGGGAAGAGACAGGAGGGGAGCCACAGAACAGAGAATGTCAGAACTGGGAGGGGCCTTAGAATAGGGAATGTCAGAGCCAAGAGACCCCTCAGAGGCATGTAGTTCAAGCCACACCTGAGCAAGGATGCTTTTATCGGGTCATTCAGCCTCTACTTGTAGACATTCAGGAAGGATTTCTAGGAAGGAACACTACTTTCTTAGGCAACTCACCCCACCCTGAGAACAATCACTGCCTTCCTTAGCACTGCTCCTTGATCACCTTTGAATCAGAGATATTTGTCAGTTTGGCCTCCCCCCACTAGATTATAAATTCTTTGAGAGAAACATCAGTGTTCTGTCTTTCTTTGTCTCCACAGGAGCCATCTTTGGGCCTTGTATAGATTCCTCATTTAATTAATATTTTTTAATCAAGTTATCTTTTTCAGACCTGTGTCTGAAAACTGACCAGGTCTTTAAGGATGTGGAAAGAAGTGGTCATATACTGTAGGTAGGATGTGCTTAGGAAGGTTAGCTCGAAGCGAATTGTGAATTTTCAGGGGAAACTTTCCTCCCAGTGATTTTATGCAGTAATTTATCGATTCTATCAGTTCACAATCAACACAAAGTGGGAAAAGTGACCCAAGGTCACACTCACACTCACACACACACACACACACACACACACACACACACACACACTCACTCTCTCTCTCTCTCTCTCTCTCTCTCTCTCTCTCTCTCTCTCTCTCTTTACACACATGTGTCCGTTGGTATCCAGTCACTATCAGTCTTGAAGATCTAGAGTTTTCTGTACAAGACACTGTGCAGATGGGGCATATTATACAATGAGGTTCTCTCATGTCACCTGGGCCCTCCCTGCTGCATAACAATCCTCTTACTCTTTCCCATTCAGTTCTGAAGTGTTTCCCCCAGCAGCTGTCCCAAGCCTTCTGTTCTCTCCTCCAACCTCCTCCAACAGCAACTCCTTCCTCCTCTCAGCTGAGCATCTTTCCTCGTGCTTCACTAACAGTCTTGAGCTTTCTCTCTTACCTAGTTCCACACTTTGAATCACTTCAGCATTATCTCTTATTCTCTCTTACTCTGCTCCAGTCTTGTGGGAGAAGGTAACCCTTCTCCCTGTCCAAGCCAACCCCTTAATCTTGTTCCATCCCCTCCTATTTCCTACAACAGCTTGCCCTTTCAGTGCTTCCTACTCTCCCTAATTTTCAACCTCTCCTTCCCTGCCACACACAAATTTGTCCACATCAACCCTATCCTTTAAAACAATAATAACAACAACCCTTCTCTTGGGTCCTACCCTTCTCTCCAGGCATCACCCTATTTCTCTCCTTCCTTTCAGAGCCAAACTCCCTGGAAAAACTGCCTCCACCTAGAGCCTATGCTTTCTCATCTACTCTCTTCTCAATTACAATCAGGCTTCAATGCCTACCACTCAACTGAAATTGTTCTCTCAGGGGGCAGCTAGATGGCACAGTGGATAAAGTTCTGGCCTTGGAGTCAGGAGGACCTGAGTTCAAATCCAGCTTCAGACACTTGATATTTACTAGTTGTATGAACTTGGGCAAGTCACTTAACCCCGATTGCCTCACCAAAAAGAAAGAAAGAAAAAGAAATTATTCTCTCCAAAGTTACCAATAATCTCTTTAACATTGAATTGTCTTTTCTCAGTCCTCATGCTTTGTGACATAAGCTCCTCAGGCTAACATTTATTAAGCATCTACTGTATTCCAGTCACTATGCCTGAAAAGAAAAAAAAAATAAGCTCTGCTCTCGAAGAGTTTACATGCAGACAACTCTGTACAACTAAGCTATAGATGGGATAAAGTGGAGATAATTAACAGTGGGAAAGCACTAGCAGTAAGTGGGGTTGAGAAAGGCTTGAAGAAGGTGGGACTTTAGCTGAGACTAAAAAGCCAGAGATGAGAAGTGAGAACATTCCAGGTTTGGGAGACAGCCAATGAAAGAGCATGGAGTTGGAGATGGATTATCAAGAGGCCAGTGTCAGTGGGTTCCAGAATAGTTAGTGGGGTGTAAGGTTTAAGAAGACTGGAAAGGTAGAAAGGGGCTATGTTATAGAAGGCCAACAGAGGGTTTTATATCTGATCCTAGAAGAAACAGGGAGCCACTGGAGTTGATTGAATGGGGATGGGGGAGTAACATGGTTAGACTTGTACTTTAGGAAGATTAATTTAACAGCTGAATAAGGAATGTACTGAAGTGGAGTAAGACTTGAGGCAGGCAGACCAACCAGCATGCTATTGCAACAGTCCAAACATGATGTGATTAGGATCTACGCCAGGGTGGTGGCAGTGTCAGAAGGGAGGGGGTGACATACAAATGTTAACAGAGATATTTCAAAGGTAGAAAAGACAGGACATGGCAAATGATTGCATATGGGGGGGTTAGACAGATTGAGAAGTCAAGGATGACACCTACGTTGTCATCTTGTGATGACAGCAACAGGAAAATTAGAAAATTTCCAAATCCAATTGCCTTTTCTCAATCCCCATCCCTTTTGACCTATTTGCAACATTTGACACTCTCAATCACTCTCTTCTCCTTGATACTCTCTTCTCTTTTGAGTTCCAGTCTCATGTCTCCACCTGGATGTCCTACAGGTATTTCAAATTCAACATGTCCAAACTTGAACTCATCATCTTTCCCAAAACAAAAAACCCATTTCTACTCTTAACTTCCTTATTATTGTCAAAGGTGCTACCATTCTTTCAATCACCCAGGCCTGTAACCTAGGAGTCATCCCCAACTTTTCAATTTTACTCACACACACCCACACACACCATATTGAATCAATTGCCAAGTCTTTTCTATCCCATTACTGAAACATATCTTGCATCTATTCCTTTCCTTCTACTAATAACATAACCACCTTAGTTCAGGTCCTCAGTACCTAGATTATTGCGATAGCTTCCTAACTGGTCTCCTTGCCTCTACAATCCATCCTCCACCCAACTACCAAAATGATTTTCCAAAATCACAGGGCTAACCATATTACTCCTCTGTTCATAAAGTTCCAGGGGGCTGGGTAAGATGGTACACACCTGTAGTCCCTGCTGCTGGGGAGACTGAGGTGGGTGAATCACTTATGCCCTGGCATTCTGGGCTAGAGCAGGGCTAAACCCAATTGAGTGTCAGCAAAGAGTCTGGCACCAGCCTGGGAGAGATACGGAAACCCAACCTCAAAAAAAAAAGAATAGAAAAAAAGATCCATTGGCTCCCCAATTCTCTTTAGGATAAAATATAGATTCCTCTATCTGGCATTTGAAACTTTTCACAATCTAGCCCCAGCTTATCTTTCCAAAGAAATTACACATAATTTGCTCTCATGCATTCCCCAATCTAGCCAAACTTGTTCTTCCTGGAACATGATATTCTATCTCTTGCCCCTATACCTTTGAATATACTGTCCCTCATGCATGGAATCCTCCCTCTCTTCATGCCAAGCTGCTGGAACCCCTAGGTCCCTCAAAGGATTATCTGTAGTGCCACTTCCTTCAAGAGCCCTTTCATGATCCCTCCAGTTGTTAGTGTCCCCCAAATCACTCTATTTACTTTGAACATAGTGTATATTTCCTTATCAATAGAACAATAGACCATAAGTTCCTTGAGGTGCTGGCACTATTTTTGTTTTTGTCTTTGTTTCTCTGTGCCTAAAACATGCTAGGAACTTCATAAGTGACTGTTGACTGACTGGTTCAGGTGTAAGCATTATGAGGCACCTGTCTATGTAGCAATCAATCTTTGGCAATATCGCAATTATTGCTGATGCCCAATTACCCTCTGACTGTTTGGGATAGTGGAAAGGGGACTCTGGGGGAGAGGAGGGGATAAGAACTCTCTTCACCACTTCCCTCTAGGCTTGAAAAAGTACTTTGCCCCTTTCCTTGTGTAGGGATAAGGTCCTACCTCCATTAATGTAATTACAAAAGGCCTTCAACAGAATCAATCAATCTATCTATCCAAATGTAAACAGGGTGTGAATAAATACATAATGTATTTGAGAAGATTGTGAGGTTTTGATCATTGGACAAAATGCAGATGAAACCATACAGGAAGCATCTTATGATTAGTTGAGGAAGTCAAGTCATACCTTTTGGGCTACCTATAAAAATAACAAAGCAGTTCAGATTTGGTAAGTCATGTAGAGCCAGTCAAAAATGGAAGAATTCTATTTTGGATAATCTCTGTATGAGAGTTGGAACCACAACCCTTGTAGGGTATTGACCTTTGGTGATAATGGTGGTGGGGAAGAGTTGAGAGTTTCTTTCTTTCTCACTCTACTCACTGACCACGTCATTGGAGAGATTGAACCAGTAATAGATAGTAAGTTCATCTAGTTGGGATCAAAAAGACTGGAGTAGTAGAAAACAACATAATCCAGTCAGGAGTAATAGTCGACTTTCGCTTCTGGGAGCCAATATGGCGGAGTGAAAAGGTAGTCGCTCTCACTCTCCCCTATCGACCTCTGAAAACCCAGAAAATATCACCCCGGAACAGCTGAACTAGAAGAAAGACGGGGAGCAGCAGTGAAGCAGCCCAGCAAAGGGGTCTGTCAGTGCCTCAGCAAAATTAAGGGAGGCAGAACTACAAGAGGCCCCAGGCAGACAAGTACCCTGCGGCATTCATCTGAAAGGAGGTGAAGAAAACAACCTGAAGGCTTTCTAAAGCCCCAGCCTTGCTGATTCCAACCCAACACCAGGAGCCCTGAAGCCTCCAACTGTGAAGAAATCCTGAAGCCCAGGTGGTAGAGCAGGCAAACACCAACACCTGGACCTCCAAGTGCCTCAGTGAGGGTGTTGGGAACCGGTGGAAACCAGCTCAGAAAACCACCAGGAGCCTCAGTTTCCCGGTGCATTAGCAGAAATGAGGGAGACAACACTGCAGGGGGCCCCAGGCAGATAAACATCCTGCAGCACCCATCTAAAAGGAGCAGAAGAAAGCTAAAGGAAAGGAAAAGCAGGCAACCTAGAATTGCCTGAAAGTTCCAGCCTTGCTGATTCCAGCCCAACACAAGGTAAGCTGCCAGAACTCTACAGCCTCTAATAAGAGGCCCCAGCACACAAAGCCAGTGACCAAGACCTAGGCTCCCAACACAAGAAGCTTGGGTCAGTGCCCTCTGTTCCCCAGCAGGAGAGCTCAATCTCTCTAAAGGCCAGGGAATAAAGAAACACCATGAGTAAAAAGAAACGTACCATAGATTCATATTATGAGAAGAGTGAAGATCAAGACAGAAATTCTGAAGAGGACAACATTGTCAACAAACCCACATCTGCAACAACAAAAGGGAATATGAACTGGTCTGAAGCCCAAAAAGCCTTCTTAGAAGAGCTCAAGAAGGATTTTAGTCAAATGAGAGAGGTAAAAGTCCTTCAAAAATACAATTGGCCAGTTGGAAAAAAATACACTGAAGAAAACAAGTCCCTAAAAAACACAATTGGCCAATTGAAGAAGGAAGGACAAAAACTAACAGAAGAGTACACTGAAGAAAACAAGTCCCTAAAAAACACAATTGGCCAGTTGAAGAAGGAAGTACAAAAACTAACAGAAGAAAACAATCTGTTAAAAACTAGAATTGGACAAATGGAAACTAATGTCTCTATGAGAGAGCAAGAATCAGTCAAACAGAAACAAAAAAATGAAAAAATAGATGAAAATGTAAAATACCTCATCAGTAAACAACCGACCTGGAAAATCGACTCAGGAGAGACAATTTAAAAATTATTGGACTACCTGAAAATCATGATGAAAAAAGAGCCTGGACAGTATCTTTCAGGAAATCATAAAGGAAAACTGCCCAGAAGTCCTAGAACCAGAAGGGAAAATAACCGTAGAAAGAATCCACTGATCACCACCTGAAAGAGATCCCAAATTGACAACGCCAAGAAAATATAACAGCAAAATTCCAAAATTACCAGATGAAAGAGAAGGTGCTGCAAGCAGACAGAAAGAGAGAATTTAAATATCATGGAACCACAATCAGGATTACACAGGACCTTGCAGTTTCTACATTAAAAGACCGCAGGGCATGGAACATGATATTCCGTAAGGCAAAGGAGCTTGGAATGCAGCCAAGGATCAATTACCCAGCAAAAATGAGCATCATTTTTCAAGGGAGGAAGTGGATATTCAATGAAATAGGAGACTTCCAAACTTTCCTGATAAAAAGACCAGAGCTCAATAAAAAATTTGATCTTCAAGTACGGGACTCAAGAAGGACTTAAAAAGGAGTAATAGTCACTGAGGAAAGGCAGCATAAGATAATATGACTCCTCATAATGAAGAAAAGTGCTGGCTATGGACTCTACAAGGCACTGATCCTCAGAGCCCAGGTGAAAGCTAGGCCTAAGGGGAATTTCATGGAGACCCTGTGAAGGAAGCAAAAGACTAACTGTAACCAAGAGTTTGTCCCCATGTGTTCTTTACATGTATGCCTTGTTACTTTTGTGCTTTAAGATTGTGCCCACTCTCTCCATGGATGCTATATGTATTGATAGGAGAGTATGCCCCAGACTAGGGAGGAGAAAGTTTTTTTGTAACTGCTGTTCTTGTTATACCATCTTAGTAAATACCTTTGCTAAAGACTAAATAAGTCAACCTGATTCTTAGTAGGTAGCTCACTAGTGGGGGCTCATGAGCAGCAGTACTAGAAATCTAACCCCTATAGAACCCTGAGGAGGAAGAATAAGCAGCCTACCAATGCAAATGCAGGTTGAGGGACTAACCTGAGCAGGGTGCTGCCCTTACCAACGACCACTCCTTCACAGAATAGCCAGAACAACAGGTCTTGGGAAGATCAGGTCTCCCCCAAAGGCATGTGATTATATTGGGGAAAAAGCTTTCTGCTAATAAGATAGGTCCTCCTTGATTCAATACTAACTTCTTCCAAGGAATGGAGGGCAGCAAGGAGGGCCTATGAAATGACCCCTCTCCTGCATGACTACCCCCTGCTATCCTGGTTTGTGTCTGGCCCCATTAGTCAGGCTCCAGTCCCTCTTCAGCTCCCATTCCTAAATGCACTGATCTCACCTCACAGTGGTCACAATTGACACTGCCCACTGCTTCTCTCCATCCCCATTTCCACTGCTTCATTGCTGCTCCTTTCTTCCTACTGTCTGTCTCAGCTCCAACAGCCCTTCCTTGGACATAAAATGTCCCTTCAGGCAATGGTGAGGACCTCCCTACTTGCCTTAAGCAACCAGTTCTATTCTCTCACCCAGTTACCATGACTGAATTCCATTCCCCTTCTTCTGTTCAGGGCTCAGACAGAGCTGGTGCCTAGCACTGAGTCAACACTTCTGAATGAGTCTTAAGACCAGAGAAAAGCATAGATACTAGCTCCCATTTGCCTTCCTGTCTCCCATCATCTTCCCACCCCCTGGACTGGGGCCAGTCCATAAACACTGCCTGAGGCCTAGCAAAGCTTAAGAAAACATGAGAAGCATCATTTGGGGAAGAAGGGATGGGGGTGGTGTCGGAGCCAGCTCCTTACGGAAAATCTCTAAGTCTTTAGTGACTTAAGGGGTCAGTACATACGGAGGCTTGCCTCGGGATAAATGCTCCCTTGACTTTTGCCCCATAACCAGCTTTGAAGCCAGGTGGCTGACTCTTGGTAGACAATACTAAGAACTGAGCAGGAAAACAATAGATATGAACGTTGGCATTGAAACTACTTCCCCTTGAGAAAAAGATGATCTCTAGCTGCTTAGTTTGTGTATGTTATTAATAGCACTTTGCAGAACTTGTAAATCGTTTCTCATGATACAAAGTTGTTTTTCTATGAGTACATAATGAGAAAACTCTTGACATAAACTAGTCTTGAGCATCAACCTCTAAGACTCGCCTAGCCTGGCTTCCCTTTCTCCTCCATCACCAAAATCCCTGCTCCCCAACCACAGACATATGGTACATGAGGATGGACTTTCTGACAACAACTACCCCAAAGGGTAATGGCTGACCTCAGAAGGAAATCAACAAACCCTCCCTCCCTGGAAGTCTACAAGCAGAGGCTGGGTGACCTCTTATTGGACATTGTAGTGGGGCTTCACGTGTAGGTATGAGGGGTTGGCGAGCTGGTCTCTGAAGTCCCTTCCAGCTCTAAGATTCTATGAAGTATCACAAGGCATGGGCTGTGCATACATGTGTGTGTACGTCAGTATGCGTGGGCACATGAGGGTCTGTATGTCCACCTGTGCACAGGGGCACCCTTGGGGAGACTCACCAGCATCACTCGGACAGAGTCAGCCATTAGTGCCACGTAAGGCTTCAGGATGTCATGATGGAAAGCAGGTGTAAGAAGTCACCGATGCTGGAACCAGACTGGCCCATTTAGGTTCAGTAGCCCTTCCCCTGAGTCCAGGAGACACAGACAAAGGGTCAAAGATGATGCATGGAGAGGGGCCTGAAGGGTCTAAATGGGCCTGAGGAGAGGGAATGCATGGGAGGACTCCCCAAAGAGAAACCTGAACACATTCCTACCACTGACCCTTTGCTGACATTATTCTCTACACTTAAATGCCTTCTTCCCATCTCTGTCAAAAAGGCTGTTACTCACCCTTTAAGGGCCAGGTGTCATGTTACCTCCTCCCTGCTGGAGACTGCATTCCCAATTCCTCCTACCTGGCAGGTGTTTCTCCTTTCTCTGCACCCACCCAACATTCTCCTTCAGCCGTTCTTACATACTGCCTGACATGGAACAGGGGTACATCTCGTATCTTTTCTCAGAAACTATGATTTCTCTGTAATGACAGAGACCATAAGTATTTCTATACCACCTTCCCTCAACATACACACACACACACACACACACACACACACACACACACACACAACACACACAAAACTTGAACATCGTGGGAGCTCAGTCAGTGTTTGTGGAATAAATGAATGATTAAATAAAAGAATTGTGCCCTGCGCATTTTTACAAGAAATGTGGGATTTGGAGGGAGGAGAAGGAAAGCAATGGTATTTCAGGCAAAGGGACGAATAAAAGTGCTTTGATGAGAAAGCCCAGGGTATATCCAAGGGATGATGAAAGGGGTCGTTTGGCTGGATGGGACCATATGAGTCTAGAACAGATGTGGGTGCTGGACTCTGCAGAAGTTCTGGGAAGTGTGGACTTTACCCTGAAGTAAAGAAGGGAGGGACAGGGAAACAAGAATTTCTCAAGTCTTGGGCACTAAGTGCTTTACAAATATTATCCCATTGGATCTTCCCCAGTCCTCAGTGGGGAGCCAATAAAGGCTTCTGAGCAAGGAGAGGCAGGATTGGAGAGAGGACAGGCAGCAGGCTGGTTAGGAGAAAGGAACAGGCCAGCAAGAAGGAATGAGAGGCCAGGACAAGGCAGTGGCAGGGGGTAGAGGGTGATACAGGGGAAAGATAAGGACTTGAGAGAGCACAGGTAGCAACTGGGGGCCCCCAAGATCTTGGGGGGTTGAACATACCGATCCAGGGGACCAAGAATCTGTAGAGTAAATTAGCTTTTGGATCTGAAACACAGAAAAATGGGTACACATGATCTAAAAGCCCATCCCAAACTCCCCTTCCTCTGGAGAAACCCCCTAATGGCAGATATGGCCAGACCTTGGGGCAATTACCTGTGAGGCCACAGAGGATCCTATGGGGCAAGAAAATGAGAAGGGCTGGGGTGGTGAGTATTAAATAGAGAATATGGGGAGTGGGTGAGGAGAGGGCACCTGTCAAGGAACTGAAATGGAACCTTCGAGGAGGGTCCTGAGGGGAAGAAATTAGAAGACCCCCCTCAAGGAGCAAAGGACATGTCGGGATGCCCCTCTCACCTGATCTGCCCGGCAGAACTCTCATGTAGTCAGGGTCATAGATTTGGAGAAATGCCATAAACCCGGAGAACCACTGGGGAAAGGCACAAGGGAATTTACATGCCCAAGATACTGTCACCTTTAATTCTTCTGCCTTCTGATACTGCAACAGAACCACCACAAGTGAAAGGAGAGGCTCCAGCCTGTCTGAGGGCTGAATGGAGCAATTAATGTGTGGGATTTGCCATTTCGATCTCACCAGATTCCAGCCCTCAGTCACTGTGAGGGCAACCAGGGCAGATGCCAGTCTGCCTGATTTTCTGTGCCCCCTCCCCCGGCTCAGCCCCAAGCACCAAGTCCTGCACAAAGTAGAAGCTCAGGAGCTCCTGGATTGATCAATCGAATTATTGATTGAATGACAATAAGAATAGCTAGCATTTGTACAGTGCTTTTAGATTTGCAAAGCACTTTACATACATTATCTCAGTTCATCCTTATAACCCTGTGGAAGTAGGCCTTATTATTACCCCCATTTTACAGATGAGGATACTGAGGCTGACAGAGAAAGTGATTATTTCCTATTTATCCTGTCTCAGTTTGTACACAGTTGTTTGCATGATGTCTTCCCCCCCCACTAGACTGGAAACTTCTTGAGGGCAGAGACTATCTCCTGCCTCTTTTTGCATCCCTAGTGCTTAGCACAGAGCCAAGCACATAGTAGGCGCTTAATAGATAAATGTTTTCATTTTGGAAAGAAAGTTTGGAGGTTTTCACTCTTTTATCTTGTCTGTTCTGTCTTTCTTGTTAGTTTACCATTCCACTCTTACTTATTTTTATGTTTCTTTCCTAATTATTGGTTGTGCATACACACTCAATTGGGTATGGAAATCTGTCTTACCCTACAGGAAAATAGGGGAGGAAGGGGACAAGAGAGCAGGGGGATGATAGAGAGAAGGGCAGACTGGGAAAGGGGCAATCAGAAGGAAGTGCCTCTGAGGAGGGACAGGGTCAAAAGAAAGAATAGAATAAATGGGGGGGGGCTGGATAGGATTAAGGGAAATAGAGTTAGTTTTTCACAACATGTCTACTATGGAAGTGCTTTGCATAACTGCACATGTATGGCCTGTATTGAGTTGCTTGCCTTTTCAATGAGGGTGGGTGGGGTGGGAGGAAGGGAGAAAATTTGGAACCCAAAGTTTTAAAAACACATGTTTAAAAAAAAAAGTTTCCACATGCAGCTGGGAAATAAGAAATACGGGAAATGAGTACAGAAATCTATCCTGCCCTACAGGAAAATAGAAGGGGAAGGGGATAAGAGAAGGGGGGGAGAGACAGAAGGGAGGGCACACTAGGGGAAGGGGTATTCAGAATGCATGTCATCTTGGGGTGGAGGGAGGGGCAAGATGGGGTGAAAATTTGGAATTCAAAACCTTGTGGAAGCAAATGTTGAAAATTAAAAATAAATAAATTTATATATATATAAAAAAACTAATTATTGGTTGTGGGTTGAAACAGACTTCTGCAAGCACCAAACGTGAGCCTAGAGAGACAATGAAATTGTGTTCATTTGTTGACTTTGTGGAGTTATGTGTTAGGAGATCTATAGGAGCTCAGCACCCGCCCAACTGTGAGGGCTCAGAACCCACCTAACCTTGGGAGCTCAGCACCCTCACAAAAGGCTATTGGGTTGATTTTGGAAGTGTCTCAATGAAGCCCTAGGGAGGGTGATGAAGAAAGCATCTGTGGCACCAGGTGAATTTCCTAATGCTGGTGCTTTCCCAGGTCCCTGAGAGAGCTCTCTAGAAGTGCAGATAATGTGCCCAAAGGCACCACCCAGTTAGATTTGCTGCGACTACAAATTTGAGTGGGGGGAGGGAAGAGTTTAAAGGATGTCAACTAGGGAAGTTCAGGGATCAGTTCGATGGGTCTTTTGGGGGAGCCTTAAATGGTCTCTTCACTAAGGGAATAGACATGCCTAGCAGAAGCTTGGCAAGAGGACAAGATTCCGCTCCAGATGAAATCCAGCACCTGGGGCTGCCCCAACATGAAGTGGTTGTTTTGGAGCTGCCCCTTGGATCTTCCACAAAGACAGGTTTCAATGGCTGGAGCTGCTCTGTAATTATTTAATGGGTCCGCTTAGACTGAGGAGGAGGCAGCTGGGTAGCTCAGTGGCTAGAACCCTGGGCCTGGAGTCAGGAAGACGAATTCAAATCCAGCCTCAGACACTTACTAACTGTGACTAGTGACACGTACGTCTTTCCAGGTTTTTCTGAAGTCCGCCTGCTCATCATTTCTTATAGAACAATAGTATTCCATTATATTCATACATCACAACTTGTTCAGCCATTCCTCAATTGATGGGCATCCCCTCAATTTCCAATTCTTTGCCACCACAAAAAGAGCTGCTATGAATATTTTTGTCCATGTGGGTCCTTTTCCCATTTGTACGATCTTTTTGGGATACAGCCCTAGAAGTGCTATTGCTGGATCCAAGGGTATGCACAGTTTGATTGACCTTTGGGCATAGTTCCAAATTGCTCCCTAGAATGGTTAGATCAGTTCACAACTCCATCAACAATGTACTAGTGTTCCAATTTTCCCACATCTCCAACATTTATCATTTTCCTGTTTTGTCATTTTAGCCAATCTGATAGGTATGATGTGGTATCTCGGAGTTTTAATTTGCATTTCTCTAATCAATAGTGATTTATAGCATTTTTTCACTAGTGACACAAGTCAGTTAACCTCTGTTTGCCTTAAACCACTAGAGTAGGAAATGGCAAACCACTCCAGTACATTTGCAAAGAAAACCCTATGGACAGCATTGACATACCATGAGGCCCAAGGTCACAAAGAGTTGGATGCGTCTGAATGACTGAACATAACAGACTGAAGATGATAGACTTTGTTGGGAGTGGAGGGATTCTCCTTTGTGCTCCATTATGAAAGTGGACCAGGAGACCTGCCTTGCATTTTTTCACTCCTTTGTCACCTTTACCCTTCTTTCTTCCAGATAATTAGCAAAAGCACAAAACATGCAAGGCTTGCTTGCATAACCTGATCAGGTTCTTGGCCACCTTTTCTCTTTTTCTCCCCTTCCTGAGCACAGGTCAAAACCAGCGGCACGAGTCAAATTCCTCAGCCCAAAAGACAACAGTAGTGGGGCAGTGGGGAAGTGTCCTAGAGATCATCAGGTGGCCAAAGGGGTAATTCAAGGACAATGTCATTCCTGAGCCTCTAGTTAGAGAGAGGAGAAGGATTTCCTCAACAGGAGGATACCAGAACCTAACCTAGTCAGAGAAGGGAAGCTCCTGCCTTATGCTGTCTCACAAGATGCCCTAAGTTTGAGAGTTTAGGGATGTGGCCTTCCATCCAGAGAGCAGCAATGCCTCTTAGAGAGAGCAGAGGATCACTCATGTGGCTCCTGAGAGAAGCGGCAGACAAGGACTGAAACTAAGACGTGAGGAGTCAAGGGATTAAGCAAGACCTTGTCCCTGGCTTTCATTACAATGAGTTACTGAGACAATGCAGGTCTGTCTTTGTCTGGTAAATCCTAAGGGTGTTTCCTTTACATGTTATTTCTTTGGTTCTCTTAAGATCTATGCCTGACTCCTTTAAGATTCAGTGCAAGCTCCACCTTCTAAATGATTACTTTCTACCGTGGAAACACAATCAGGATAACACAAGATTTAGCAGCTTCTACATTAAAGGACCACAGGGGTATGGAATATAATACTCCAGAGGGCAAAGGAGAGAGGATTACGACCAAGAATCACCTACGCAGCAAAACTGAGTATAATCCTTCAGGGGGAAAAAATGGACATTCAGTGAAATAGACGACTTTCAAGCGTTCTTGATGAAAAGACCAGAGCTGAATAGAAAATCTGACTTTCAAATACAACACTCAAGGGGAACATGAAGAGGTAAACAGGAAGGAGAAATCATAAGACACTTGTTAAGGTTGAACTGTTTACATTCCTGCATGGAAAGATGATATTTGTAACTCATGAGACCTTTGTCAGTATCAGGGTAGTTGGAGGGAAAAAATTATATATATGCATAGGTAGATGGATAGAGGGTACAGGGTGAGTTGAAGATTAAGGGGTCATATCTGGAGAATAAAATTAAGGGATGAGAGAGGATTATATTCGGAGAAGAAGAAAGGGAGTGGTAGAATGGGGTAAATTATCTCACAAAAAAAAGCACAGAAAAGAAAATGCTCTTACAGTGGAGGGGAAATGGGGGAAGGTGACAGGGAACGAGTGAATCTTATTCTCATAGGATTTGGCTTAAGGAGGGAATAACATACACATTCAAATGGGTATGGAAATCTGTCTTCCCTATGGGAAAATAGGGGGAGAAGGGGACAAGAGAGCAGGGGGATGATAGACAGGAGGGCATATTGGGAAAAGGGGCAATCAGAAGCAAATACTTCTGAGGAGGGACAGGGTCAAAAGGAAGAATAGAATAAATGGGGGGGCAGGATAGGATTAAGGGGAAATAGAGTTAGCTTTTCACAACATGTCTACTATGGAAGTGTTTTGCATAACTGCACATATATAACCTATATTGAGTTGCTTGCCTTTTCAATGAGGGTGGTTGGGGAGGGAGGAAGGAGAAGAATTGAAACCTAAAGTTTTAAAAACATATGTTTAACCTATCAGATTGGCCAACATGACAAAACAGGAAAATGATAAATGTTGCAGAAGATGTGGGGAAATTGGAACATTAATACATTGTTGGTGGAGTTGTGAAATGATCCAACCATTTTGGAGAACAATTTGGAACTATGCCCAAAGGGCTACAAAAATGTGCATGCCCTTTGATCCAGCAATAGCACTTCTAGGGCTATATCCCAAAGAGATCAGACAAATGGGAAGAGGACCCACATGTACAAAAATATACAAAGCAGCTCTTTTTGTGGTGGCAAAGAATTGGAAATTGAGAGGATGCCCATCAATTGGGAAATGGCTGAACAAGTTGTGGTATATGAATGTAATGGAATACTATTGTGCTATAAGAAATGATGAGCAGGCTGACTTCAGAAAAACCTGGAAAGACTTATATGGTCTGATGCTGAGTGAAGTGAGCAGAACCAAGAGGACTTTGTACACAATAACAGCCACAATGACTAAGATTGTTAAACTGAACCCTTCTCAGCAT